GGCAAATTTATTTATAAAAATTAGTAATCCACCTCTCCCATTGCTCCCATTCATTTAGATTTAAAAAAATGAAATGGCATCTTGGATGCATAGATGTCAAAAGGTGAAAAAAGCCTCCAGGGCTCATCCCTCCGCCCCCAATAATCCTTGCATTTGATACAGCACCTTATTACCTTGTTGAGCCATCCCAAAGTGCTTCACATGAGCTCACCTGCTTCACACCACACACCTACACATCTCTACAAGAGTATCCAAACCAAGCGGAGAACGCCACACATCCCGTCCACGCGTGGAAATTCCAGCGATCGACTGTTGGAATGGAAACTAACCATTTAAGATATCCTTAAATATAAAATATTTATTAAATATAAAAGTAACCAAGTCCTGCCAATGAGCCAGGCTGGCTGTGCTGTTATCAGCATCGCCCTGGACAGAGAGGTATAGAGCACCTACACTTCCCAGACAGGAGGATTTCACATACAAACGCATCTCGTTATTTAGCACTGTAATGAAAGACATTTTATTTATTCAGAAAGACATCTGAGTAAATAGCTGAAAAGATACAGGGAAAGTGGGATAGAGGGACGTACCTTTAATGGAGCAGTTGGTATCTGCATTAGCTCAATGCGTTTCCTGCTCTGCAATGTCTATGATTGTTAAAACCCTTTCAACTTAATAAAGAAATAAGCTTTACGTTTGGTAGAGTGCCTTTCACATTGGGAGGATATCTTAAACTGCTTTATTAGTATACTGTAAATAATAATAAAATACTTGCATTTGATACTTGCATACTTGCAATAGCGCCTTATCAAGGTCTTTGTGACATCTCAAAGTGCTTCCTCAAAGCGTAAAGTGTAGTAACTGTGTTTTGTAGGCCAACGTGGAAGCCAATTTGCGCATAGCAATGTTCTGCAAACAGTCATGAAGTGAGTGACCAATTTAATCCTGGCGGATTGTTGGCCAGGACACTGGGAGAGATGAATTGTGAATGAAAGTTTTGGCGCACAGCAATGTCCCATGAAAAATCCTTTGCATGATAAATTATACTATTCATTTTTTTAAATTCAAACAAAAGGGTTGTAAATTACTCTGCTTCTTTTTTATATCAGCGTCAGCCTGGCGCAGCGGGTAGAGAGACAGATGGATGTTAAATATCCCATGGCGCTATTTGAAAGGAGAAGGGATTTTCTCTCTCCCAGTGTCCTGGCCAACACGAACCCAAAATAAAATCAGTCACTGTTTGTGGGACATTGGTGCCTCGTCGGTTGGCGGAACTCTTTCTGTGGCTGATAATCCCTCCCAAGAAACATTGCCTCGCGCAACTGGCTGCTGCGTTTCACCCACAAAAATATACAGTCACTTCACTTTACAGTACATCCTGTGAAGCACTTTGAGATGTCTCAACGACTTGATAAGGCACTATATCAAATGCAAGGATTATTATCATCATTTTATATAGAGCAGCTATCAAAGACAAGCTCACTGGGAGCAATTGTGAGCCTACGATATGTTGTTTGGAACTCAATATTCAGCTGAGCAAAAACAACCTGGTTATCTCACATTGACAACTCTCATCCCTGTCAGGGGTTATATGAGTGACTGCTCTACTTCAAATGATTATTTTTAAACAACACAGAATACCTGGGCTTAACTGCAAGACAGCGTTACCACAAAGAGAATCAGATGATATTGTGGATTATGAATAATGAAATTTGAGGCGTTTGTGAGAGATAAATTTAACTCTCAGATGAGAAAACAGATTAAAAATCACTCCAATGGGTCAGATATTCCTATAACATATTCTCTGGGTCTTGGCTGGGTTGTATTATTACATAGTTATTGTTGGTATCATTTTAATCTTGTAATAATAATCCTTGCATTTGACATGCTGCCTCCACACACAAAGATCTTCACCGGATATACTGTATGGTGATTGTATATTTTGTAGGCAACCGTGCGTCTTACACATTTAAGTTCTTACAACAATAATAATATTAATCATTGCTTTATCACTTCATTGATACGTCTCAGAGTTCTGCACAGAATATATTGTAAAAGGGATTAACTGTAATTGTGGGCGAAATGCGACAGCCAATTGCGCATTGCATTGTCTCACAAACAGCTGTGGATTGAGTGATTGAGTATTTGAAGGGATTATTACCCCCTGGAAAGTGATCTGTCAATTAACTAATAACCAGGTTCCTACTTACTGCTATGACAATTAATTAAATATTAAACAATTTAATTAAATATTACAATGATACCAACACTGAGAGATTACATGGTTCCCCTCCACCTCCGACAAAGCAAACAGCTTGTTTACCACCAGGAAACAGCACGATCAGGAGGCAGACATCAGTTATGTGCAGGCAGATTGACGGTGGAGAAAAAGAAAATGAAATCCCAGAGAAGGGAAAGATCAATAAGGTAAACGGAAAATGAAAAAGCCTGAAACATTTGTCGATCTGACTAACACCCGTGTTGGCGAGGAGGCAAATGTAATCAAAGCAGAAGCCAGATGGAAATACTGTACATGCCAGAGTATTCGTGTTGTAAAGCACGGATTCCCAGCACCTACAGTTACAAATGTTCATTCATAAACAACTCTCAGCGGGCGTGAGTCTATCACGGGGTTGGATGTTCTTTCACATTCATTCAGTCATTTTGTTTCACCCACAAAATATACAATACACAGTCGGTTCACTTTACAGTATATCCTGTGAAGCGCTTTAAGACATCTCAATGACGTGATAAGGCGCTATATCAAATGCTAGTATTATTATTGTTGATTCAACATAAGAGTATTTTTTTTCAAAATAACGCAGTTCAATTTAAAAAACATTTTTTTCATGTGATATAATCATTTGGCTATAGATTTGGACTTGGACTTGACTCCAAATCCCTGACTGTCCAGCGCCTTGGGACGTCCTCCTGACGTGAAAGGCGCTATATATACAAAAGTAATTTTCTGTTGTATTGCATTGTAAGATAAGTAAAAAAAAGGGGGAAAAAATGATTTATCTGTTTATTTTCTTTGAAACTGACACAACTTACGGGGAAAAAAAAACACCTCAAAGCAAACCTACAAGATAAAGCTAGATTAAATGATGCATCAACCTCAATTAAAGGCCTTCCCTTTACTCTTGTCATCGACATGTTTCCCGCACAGAAATCAACTCAGAAAAAGCTCCTTAAAACCTCAGCCACAGAAACCCCACCACCCTGAGCTCTTCTGTACTGAACCAAGCGACTGAGATGACTTGGGTTCGCACTGTGATTTGACAGTGAGCTGTAACGTCAATGGATACATCATCGCAGGTTAAAAATAGCACCAAAACAAGCGCCTGGTGCTTTGGGGGCGGTTGTTGGGGAAAGCTGTTTGTTCTGATCAAAAGCTCGGAGTGACCGAGTTGTCAGTGTGGTCAATCACGACTTCTGTATATGTATGCGTGTGCGTGTGTTTCTATTCCTGTTGTGCAGGTAGATTGATGTGTCTTGCTCCTTGTGTGTGTATGTTGCGTGTGTGTATGTATGTTGTGTGTGTGCGTGTGTGTGCACGTGTGTGTGTTGTGTGTGTGTCTATGTTGTGCGCGTGTATGTCTTTTGCGTGTTTATGTGTTGTGTGTATGTTGTGTGTATGTCGTGTGTGTATGTATGTGTATATGTTGTGTATGTCTATGTTGTGTGTGTGTGTACGTGTGTATATGTGTCTATGTTGTGTGTGTGTGTGTGTGTGTCTATGTTGTGTGTGTGTGTATGTGTCTATGTTGTGTGTGTTTCTATTCCCGTTGTGCAGATAGATGGCTATCTCGCTGCGTGTGTGTGTGTGTCTCTCTCTACAGCTGTTTATTTAATCGGAAACCTATTGCAAATCCCCACTCCCTCACAACCAAACACTGCAATCTTGTTCTCAAACAGAAACCCCATCAAGGAACACATTTGTAAGATTCCTTGAGCAGATCGAGACCTCGCTGCTGCGGGGAGTGGGGACTGTGTTATATATTGTATATATATATATACAGTATCACTCGGTGGCTTCAGAAGGAGATCGCAACTGATATCCTTATTAAATAAAGCAACACGTTATCGTTATGACATAATTATTATAATTATTACCATTATTATTAAGGAGAGCAGGGGAGGACAGAGCAGGGAATCCATGCAAGGCACAACGACTTAGTATTCGTTTAAAAAAAAAGCGAGAAATCTGACTGGGGTTTAATTAATAAATAAATTTGTAAATGTTTAATTACAATTGTTTGTAATCTTTGATTGCGAACAAACGAGCCGAGACTGATCTCGTGCCCCTGTGGATTTGTTCTCCGCCATCGGGACGGAATTGGGAGAACATCTACAACACAACAACGATGTCTTACAGAGAGCGGTCAGTTACAAGGATGGATTGGAATTGGGGAGTGGAGGGGGAGAGATAGGAGAGAGAGATAGGAGAGAGAGAGAGGAGAGAAAGGCAGGAAAACACACAGAGAGAGGAGAGAAAGGCAGGAAAACACACAGAGAGAGGGAGAGAGAGAGAGAGAGAGGGAGAGATTGCAGTTTTCAAATCTTTTTTTCACCCCCATGCAAACAGAGCTAAAGACAGGAGGACACACAGAGGAGAGGGGAGAGAGAGAGATCATTGCAACCGGTTGTGCACAGGTAGTTCAGGGCACAGACAGAGAGAGAGAGAGACAGAGAGACAGATGAGGAGTGGAGGTGGACAACAAAACAACTGAAAGAAATAAAAAAAACCCTCATTGCAAACAATGGCAAATGACATGACGATGATGTAGTATTTTTATTGCAATTGTCATCATTATTATTATTATTATTATTGCTCTTATTATCACCATTGCCATTATTCTAATAAACGTGATTATCATTATCATTATCATTATTATTATTATTATTAAATGCAAAGATTGTTAACCACATTAAGTGTATCTGCACAGTTGGAAGCGGATCGCAGTCTCACTCACAGCGGCTGATAAACAGTCAGTTACCTCTCTCTTCACGTTCCCCAAAAGCTTCTGCCTGAGGTCCTCCTGAGAGCAGCTCATGGTCCCCGGAGCAGACATGGTCCTCTGGGGGGGGGAGAGGGGGCGAGGGGGGCTGAGGGGGTCTGGGGGGGAGAGGGGGAGAGGGGGTCTGAGGGGGAAGAGAGGGGGGAGAGGGGAGGCTGAGGGGGTCTGGGGGGGGAGGCTGAGGGGGTCTGGGGGGAGAGGGAGGTCTGGGGGGGAGGCTGAGGGGGTCTGGGGGGAGAGGGGAGGTCTGGGGGGGAGAGGGGAGGCTGAGGGAGTCTGGGGGGGTCTGGGGGAGGCTGAGGGGGTCTGGGGGGGAGAGGGGAGGCTGAGGGGGTCTGGGGGGAGGCTGAGGGGGTCTGAGGGGGTTGGGGGAGAGGGGAGGTCTGGGGGGGGGGGCTGAGGGGGAGTCTGGGGGGGGGGGGAGGCGGGGGGGGGGGGGGGGGGGGGGGGGGGGGGGGGGGGGGGGGGAGGCTGAGGGGGTCTGGGGGGGGAGGCTGGGGGGGGGGGGGAGGCTGAGGGGGTCTGGGGGGGGGTCTGGGGGGAGGCTGAGGGGGTCTGGGGGGGGGAGGGGGGGGGGGGGGAGGCTGAGGGGGTCTGGGGGGGAGGCTGAGGGGGTCTGGGGGGGAGGCTGAGGGGGTCTGGGGGGGAGGCTGAGGGGGTCTGGGGGGGAGGCTGAGGGGGTCTGGGGGGGAGGCTGAGGCTCTCAGTAACTCCCCTCTGCTGCTGCCTCTCTGGTGCAGATTAAGGGCTCGAACCTCTGTCAGACGCCATCTTCAGAGCCAAACCCATCCACAACTGACGTCAAGAGAACCAGAGGAGGGACTCCCGAGTGTGTGTGAGAGAGTGAAAGAGAAGGGAGAGAGAGAGAGAGAGAGACGTGGACCATCCGTAGAGAGAGAGAGAGAGAGAGAGAACTCAGGGAGAGAGAGAGAGAGAGAGAGACACACACACACATACCATTCATCGGGAGAGAGAGAGATATGGACCATCCATAGGGAGAGAGACCCACACAGAGACCACTCATAGAGAGGGTTAGAGTCCATCCATAGAGAGAGACACACAGATCATTCATAGAGAGAGAGACACACACAGAGACCACCCAGAGAGAGAGAGAGAGAGAGAACTCATAGAGAGACACACACACACAGATCATTCATAGAGAGAGAGAGATGGACCACCCATAGAGAGAGAGCACCCATAGAGACACAAAAAAACCCAAAGAGAGAGACAGCTCATTAGAGAGATCACCCATAGAGAGAGACACAGACCAACCATAGAAAGAGACCACCTATAGGGAGAGAGGTGACCACCCATGGAGAGACAGAGACCATCCTTAGACAGAGAGAGAGAGAGAGAGAGAGATAGACCACCCATATGGAGAGACCACCCATAGAGAGAGACCATTAATGGAGGGATAGAAATAAACTCGCAGAAGAGAGGCATAGACATCCACAGAAGGTATTTTTCCTATGGTTTTGTAGGCATGAAGACAAGTAGCAAGGCAACGTATTATTGAAGAGAACCAGAGTCAGAGACGTGATGAAGTAATGTTTAATGGGGAGATAGCAAGAGAGCAACATCACAAGAGTGGAGGGTGTGTGCTGGAACCAAGCTGTGAAGGTAGGGTGAGGTGAGACCATGGAAGGTTGTAAAGACCAAGATAAGGATCTCAGATTTGATCCTCTGAGGTTCTGTGAACCAAAGGAGCTTTGCAATGATTGGAGTAATGGGGGAAGGATATTCTTGTGCAGGGACAAATGAGGTTGCAGTGTTTATTTTTGAGGTGATGGAACCATGGGTGAGGGTTTCAATAGCAGTTACCAGTCTGAGGTAAGCAGAGAAGTTGACGGACCGAAAGTCAAAGGCTGGCGAGAAACAACTCGGCTTCAATCTTACTGACATTCAGCTGCAGATATTCAGGGCTCATCCAGGAGCGTGTCGGACAAATAGTCAGAATAGCAATAATCCAGAGCCCAAAGGTCCATCTTGTCTTAGCCCGTGAAACCATTTAAAGTCTTAAAATTTAGGAAGACACAGAATTATGGAAAAACTCTTGAATCCAGTCTTTCATTTGGAAGCCAATCATTTTAAACCCAGCCCCGTCTACCTCTTCAGGTGGATGTTAAAGATCCCTTGATACTATTTGAAGAGAGAAGAGAGTTTCTCTCTCCCAGTGTCCTGGTCACTGACTTCATGGCTGTTTGTGGGACATTGCTTCGTGCGAAGAGCTTCTACCTTTCGCCCGCAAACACACAGTCACTGCACTTTACAACAATTCCTGTGAAGCGTTTTGAGACGTCTCGATGACGTGACAAGGTGCTATAGCAAATGCAAGGATTATAATTAACATAGCCTCAGTTCCATGACTCACAATTGACCCCGAAACCAAGTTTTTGACAGCTGATCATCAGCCAGCAAAGCTGGATCCGGACACACCCAGTAACATCTACTCCAATATAGTTTGGCGACAATCCAAGGAATCCCATCAACACACCAGATCTGCATTTGAGAGAGGAAGCAAACAGCTATAAAATATTACAGGGTTGGGCTATATTGCAGTCATCTGTAGCTTGTTTATTAGAGCAAATTAAGCAGGATTCACCCTAACATTGCAATTGCGTATTCCATTGGAACTTTACAACCTCACACCTTGCGAGGATAGGAGGTTATTAGGACATTTTGGGGATGACAGTGACCCTTCCCCTCGTCCAATATCCCCCTCCACCCCCAAAGAATTTCGTTCTGTCCCAGACTTATCTTTTCGTAAAGTAACAGGCTATCCTTGAGCGGAAAATTATCAACACGTCATTCATTTTTCCTGCAACCCTCTGCTCCGCTGGAGTAGATTTTTTTCTGCATTAATATTATCTGGAGAAACGTTATGGGAAGTGCAAGTCGGGATGGAAAAGTAAACAGGCGCTTTCACTCCATCAGTAAATTGCTGAAACACTGACCCCCACTGCCCAACAGAGACCTTGATCGGAATCTATCCTGGTTTCATCTTCTACTTGGAAAGGACTCCCTCCTTAACACGAATGTTTGTTTTCAAAGGACTGCAATACATCTGTACAGTCATTCATTTTCCATGACTGAATAATTCAACGTCGTTCCATATAAAAATATTACTCCTTTGACATAGAAAAAGCACACATCTTCCAAAATCCTTATTAATATTTGCAGTTTGGGAAGCGAAGTGTCGCTTTGTTCCTTTTTTTTTCTTTTTTTTAAAAAAAAAGTTATGTCAAGTTTTTTAAAAAAATAATGTTTCCAAGATGTTAATGATGATCGAGTTGCGACCTGATGCGACTTACCATCTTTTATGTACATTTTCATTTGCGTCCATGCAACGTAGAAACCACCCCAAAAAAATTTGTGTGGTTTAAAAAAAAATAATCAACAAGGCAGCTTAGCTCAGCTATAGCTCCAAACGCATTCAAGGGAGCTGTATAAATGCAAGTTCCCCCCTGTCCTCCCCTCACCCTGACCATTTCCCCCCTGCTCGGGTACCCACCCAACTGGCTAGCGCCTTGGGACGTCCTCCCGACGTGAAAGGCGCTCTTTAAATTCAATCTTGTTGTTGTGGTTGGAGAGCCAGCCTTAGCCTGTGAGCAAAGCCTGGATGGCCATCAACTGAATTGGACTGACATATCCTACTTGTTGTTTGTATTGCAGTGTTTAATTGCATTGACATTGCTGTGCGCAAATTGGTTGCCGCGTTCACCTACAAAAAGTACAGTCACTACACTTTACGGCATACCCTGTGCAGTGTTTTTGAGACGTCCTCCTGACGTGGAAGGCGCTGTTTGAAATGCAAGCATTATTTTTTTTTTAACCTCAGAATTCCAATGTAAGTAAACATTTCCTAATTGTTGCATTAAATACAAAACACACAGACTCGGGAGACAAATATGACTACTTAGATTATTGGATCTATTATTATTCTTGGAATATTAAATTAGATACACCTAGCTGCCCGAATCTAATTAGTACTTTCTTGCAACAGATGCCGGTTAAAAGCACAAAGCTGATGCCATCAATGTGTCTGTGCGCAAATCATTGGCTATAAAGCAGAGACTAGACCGAAAATAAGGATTACCTCGGAATCATTACAAAGCAGTCAATTGTGTGTGCTTTTGGACAGAAACAGTGCTATTATTTTGTCAAGGGTGAATGTAAAATATGGGCAGTCTGTGTGAGTACCAAGGATTAGCGCTATGTCTGCACCTATAAGCCTTGTAATTAATAATAACCCTTGTATTTGATACAGCGCCTTCAAGACATCTCACAGAATATACTGTAAAGGGAATTGACTGTTATGGGAACTGACTCCGCTGGCTTCCCATCACATAGAGGATACAGTTCAAGATCCTGGTCCTTACCTTCAAAGCCCTCCATGGCCTTGCTCCCCCTACCTCTGCAACCTCCTAACCGCCTACCAACCTGCCCCGCTCAGTGAGCTAGTGCCTGCTTCACGTCCTCCGCCTCGCACGCCCCACCATTGGCAGGGGGGGGGCCTTCTGCCACACTGCCCCCACCCTGTGGAGCTCCATCCCACAGTCCCTCTTCGACTGTGCCTTCGGTCACCCTCCTTCCACCCTCCCCAATCCCGATCCCGAAAAATACCACCGACTGTCCAGCGCCTTGGGACATCGTCCCAACGGGAAAGGCGCTATATAAATATAATTTTTTTNGGTGTATTTTGTGGGCGAGACGTAGAAAATTCTCACATAACAAATTCTATAGCTGTGCCATTAGAGGAACATTATATGAAACCCAGGCCATCTACTCGCTCCAGGCTGCTCTTGCACACCTCCCGGTGGGTGCTCAGAATACAACATTTGCAAATATTCTCCAGCTCCACAGTAATTTCTGAAAGGTTTTCCACCCTGATTTTCTTCGCATTTTTTACCCGATACTTCAACCATTCATTTTACAAATGAGAAGCCCTTCCTTCAAAAGGCAGCCTCTCTATCATATTTAGTTGCATTTTTTTTCTGCACTATTCAGAGAGCAGCAAATTGAACATTAGAATCATAGAATATTACAGCACAGAAGGAGGCCATTCGGCCCATCATGCCTGTGGTAGCTCTTTGGAAGAGCTACCCAATCAGTCACACTTCCCCGCTCTTTGCCCATACCCCTGAAAATTTTCCTTTTACCTATTTAATTCCCTTTTGAAAGTTGTTATTGAATCTGTTTCCACCAGCCTTTCAGGCAGTGCATTCCAGACCATAATAACTCTGTGTAAAGAAGATTCTCCTCATCTCCCATCTGATTCTTTTGCCAATTATCTTGAATCAATGTCCTATTGTACAGGTTCCTCAGGTAAGAACCATGATATAACAGTACATCAACATTGAGCAATCACTTTAACTATCGTATGGCCATCTAAAACAGGAAAAACATGCGCTGTACTTACCACCCAACCAATACTCATCCAGAATTGGTTAAGTTGCAAACGTGAGTCGTATTGAACACTCACTCAGCCCTTGCACTGTAGAACGGATTTGATTAAAGTACAATTTTTTTTTCATGCACCTAAAATGTTGTAGTCTAATACAATCATTCTGTAATACCTTCTAAAACATTAAGCTCTTATAGAACGCCTCATTGGTGGGATGGGAATTGGGGGGAAGAGAAATGTAGTACACGCCTGATAACTCGACCCTGGCATAACTTGTCATTACCACTTAAATCATCATGCAGATCAATATCATTTATTTATGGCTTTATACATATGCCTGACTCACCATTCCAGGTAATTTGTCCCTGGGCTTTTTCCCCATGGGGTGTTGAGTTATCAGGACTTTAATGTAGTCAACTGCAGATGTGAATCCATGTGCAACAACGACTTGCATTTGTATAGCATCCCTCACATCGGTTAGTGTTTCGGAACGCTTTACAGCACCATACACTGCAAAAAGCAACATTTGGGTTTTAAAAGTAACCCTCTAAATATATAAAAACAAGAGGAAACTCTTTAAAATGCAGCATTTCATATAATAGTTTACAGTTCAGTTAGAATTTTACCGTTTGGAAATTTAAGGGAATATTGTTTGATTTTAAAGGAGGATCCAACAGGGGAATAGTTTTAGCAAAGTTCTTTGACCAGTTTAGCCTGGGTTCCAATCCAGTCCTGTCCTCTTCCTTTCTCTCCAAAATGGGCTTAAGCAATAGACTTACATTGCAATTAATAAAAATCCTGGCATTTGATATAGCACTTTTCACGTCTTCGAGACGTCTCAAAGCGCTTCACAGAACAGACTGTAAAGTGAATTGACCGTATATTTGTGGGCGAACACAGCAGCCAATTGCGCACAGCAATGTCCCACAAACAGTCATGGACTGAAAATGACCAATTTATTATTGTTTTTAGTTTTTGGAGGGATTATTATCAGGGGTGTGGAGTAAGGAAACTTGCCCAAGGTTTCGCCCTGCCTGAACTCAGGTCTCTCACTTGGAAAGCGAGTGCTCTAACCACTGAGCTACAGGACTCCACATGGGGTAAGACCGGGGGGAATGGGCTACGTTAAACACATAGCCTTTATTTCACTTCAATTTAGATTTTAAAAAATGTCCTTTGCAACAACCGTGGCAGGTGTGTTGAATTTATACGGGAGAAGATCAGGCAGCTGAATGTTAACTCTCATTCCATGGTTAACAGCAACAGTCAAAAGATTTTATTTTGAGGTTTAGTAAAGATTTCCATAACATTTAAAAAAAGGTACAACATTTTAAAAAAAGGAACGTTACCAAAATTCTAAATCGTCTACATTACTGGAAAAAAAATATCATTCCTTACAAGTAGGCCCTACTTTAAACATGTGCAACTATGAAAATCCATCACAGCGTTATTGAATTTTCAGCAAATTTACTTTACAGACAGTGGTTATGTAGCTTTAAAATTCCAGGGTTTGAGCTAGCTGGTCTGCCTGTAAGTGACCAGCACCTAGAGTTAAATTAAGCATTTCACAGTAACCAATTTTACAGCTAAATAAGGTGGACAGCAGAACATCAATCACTGCACTAGGCAGATGGCTTAATAGCTTTTGCACCAATGCAATAATGAAGACAGTATAGAAATGAATGGAGCATTTCGCAAATGGGCACAACAAATAACTAGGAGCGATTCCTCCAAAAGCTTAGTAAATATATTCAGTGAGCAGCTGGTTCCAGATTCTTCCCCTGATCTTTGAACTTCAGGGTGGGAAGGGGGATTTTTAAAAAAACAGGAAACCGCCAGCCCACCACTTCGGATCTCTATACAGTGCCATTAGCTGGGAGACCACCAGTGGATGCTGGTTCAGGACAGGACCATGCGCAGCTGTGACACACCTTGTAACTGAACAACCTGCTAACCTGCACCGACAGGCAAGGCTAACTGGTTAATAATGGCCACGGAGGCGATGGACCAGAGGGAGTGAAGGGGAAAACAAAGTGAAATTTGGCATCAGTAATTAAATGCCAATGATGAAAAAAAACATCTTGGATACATCAACACGACTTTCCGAATGAAATGCTATTCGCTTTGTAAATTATTTTCATGTACCCCAAAGGCTACATTTGGTGTAGTCTCTCTCACGCGTAAAGTTAACAGGATCATAACAATTGGAATGTGATTTCCCATCCTACAATAGTTTGCCTGATGTAGTGCAGACTCAAAAATATAATCCGTGACCATACTCTACCTACGTTTCGTTTAAAAAAAAAAGTGAACTTCTGAAGCTAGTTTACGAACTGAGTCGCATAACACAAGATTCAGGTCAAAAGCAAATAACCATTGATCCCCGTTAGTGCAGAAGAAACCAGCTCCTCTCGGAAGAGAATGTTCATAACCAAATTGTTACACGTCCACCTCAACAGTGCACACCATCACCAAATCCAGGTTCAAACTCCTGGTAGCAAACAACTGAACTACAAATCCCAAACTGTACAAATGCAAAAGGGATTTTTAAATTAAAACAAAATCCATCTAAGCACAAGCTTTTGAAGGAAAAAGGTAACACAAACAAGCCTTCTCTGCCACACACTCTGTAAAAAATAAAAAAAAGAATGATTTGCACTAAATGACGTAGTAAATAATAATAAACCACCCTCACAAATAGCTTTTGCATGTTTTAACAAGTTGAGGGGCAGGGTCCAGTTAGGCTCATAAATAAGGGTGGAGAGTTTTTATGTGCTGCAGTGAAATGGGATGGGATGTTGGAAAATTCCCCCACAATGTGTTCAGTAAAGCCCATGTTACAATCTTTGGAATCCTGTGAAGACAGAGGTAATTGACTTGGGAGACAGGAAGGGGTGACGACATCTCTCATTTCCCCACCTCACCCACACAAAAAACAGCAGTACAATATCCTAGATTCCTAGAAGTATCTTGGCTAGCCTCCACATGACTAAGACACTGTTTGACGATTTAATGCCACATGAAGTAACCAATAATACACAAATGCACTCGTTTAAGTCTGTCCTTCACGGCCGCTGCTTACGGCCAACAGTCGGATCTGTTTTGGTTGTTGTCTTTTTTTTTTTGAGGACGTAATCCCTACATTTACTCCTAAAGCTACACGGTAACAGGAGAGGTGGCTGTGAGCTCAGATCACAGCCCAGTGCCACTGAGCCCCAAGGAAAGTAGCAGTAGCCCAAGACAACCCTTTGAGGGAAGGTGCCTGGCTCGTGGCCAGGTCAAGACCGGTAACCCAGGGACTTGGGGGCAAATTTCACATTCACTGCCTTGAGGCACGTGATGCAAAACAGGTTGCGATAAACCAGGATTTTTTTTTTTTTTTTTTTTGAAAACCTGCCCCAAAACACATCGGCTTCCTAGAAATATTACCTGTGAGGAGTTAAGGCAAATTTGTAGATTAAAGAGACAATATTCAAACCGGTGTCTCAGTTCAATGTGCAAGGTTCTTTCAAAAGGTTTTTTTTTAAAAAAATCAACACACAAGAAGTTAAAGAACATTTAGAAGCACGCAGGCTCTTTTCTAAAGTCAGTCATCTTCATATTTCGGGAAGTTAGTTGTAAATCAGTGACCGGCAGTGGATTAAAGTGTTAAAAAGTAAATACTGTCAACAACATTACAGATTTAGTCTCTATAAGCAGACGAGTGTCCAAGAGGTCGGTCATCGTAGGAGCTGTATCTTTTCACGTGTATTCTACGCACACGATCCCGAACTTCCAGCCCCTCGTCGTCTTCGCTGTGTGACCCGTTACCAGGCGGGCGGCTCGTAGCCTCCAATAGTAGGTTATCGGGTACACGTGGCGTTTCATAGAGCAGGACGTTCAAAGTTTCCTCGTAAATTCTTGCTTCTGGAAATTCAACCTGAGGGGAAAATAAACGGTGCCAATAACGAACAAGATTCGCCCACAAACTATACAGTCACTACACTTTACAGTATATTCTGTGAAGCGCTTTGGAAGACGTGAAAAGGCGCTATATCAAATGCAAAGATTATTGTTATTATTAAGATAGCTTCACACACATCAATTTATATCTAATGCAATATTAAAGCAACACATCAGTACTAAAGAAAAGAACGTTTTCTACATCCAGTTTCAGTAGTGCCAGAATGTCGTGATCCAAACATCACAGGAGCAGCCTGTTCTGCACAAATTTGACAAACTTATTTTTCCAACAGTTGCCCTAATGTGACCCGAGTGACACTATTAATATAGCATTGATACAAGTGGCGTGTGGTGTCCCAAATGAAAGACCCCATGAGAAGCCACAAAAGTTAACAGAGAGGAGATTGTCAGATCTGGAGTGAGTTGAACTTAGCACTCAGGAAGTGAGAGGAGATTTCTATCCTCTCACTGTGTCCATCCACCCTATCTGCTGTTCGCAATTGGCTGCCGTGTTTCACCCACAAAATATACTTTACAGTATATTCCGTGAAGCGCTTTGAGACATCTCAAAGATGTGATAAGGCGCTATATCAAATGCAAGGATTATTATTATTATCACTACATGCACAAAAAAATGCACCAGTAGAGTATCCCGCTTGTGATTCGCACATACCTTGGTTTGCTTCTTTTCCGTTGCATACACTATTGAAGTGCAACACACTTCTGCAAGTTTGCGGCGCTGTCCATAGAATGACCAGCAGCATATCTCATCTCCCAAGACATCCTTGATAAATAGCACTCTTCCGTTAAATCGCAAAGACAGTTTGTCAAACAGTTCAATGTTCTTCAACAGGTTATCATCAGAGTTGCTGCGGGGAAAAAAAACATAAAACCAAATATTAAATGGCTCCTTAGCGACGGGAATGACACATTGCCCAAAAATGCATTTCTGACATTTGTGCTACAAAATATGTTTCAATAATTTTGAAGGGTGACAGCTATATTGAGCCAATGTCAGGTACAGGAAAAAGTGGGAATTAAAATGGGCATTTGCCAAAGTCTCCAGTTACGTAGCTTCTATTGGCTAATTCAAAGCAAAAGCATCAGTCTATCTCACAGAGAAGGGAGACATCAACAGAAATCAATCTATCTACTCTATCCTATAACACCATTGTTATATCCATTGTTATATATCCTATAACACTGCCAACTTCACCTGTGCTGTAGCATCTGCAAATTTGCTCCATTGTTCGTTATGCTCGGTACAGTTTTTTCACTACAATTTTTACATTCAAATGAACCACTTGTTTTTTAATGCAAAGATTTTTTTAAAAATATAGAAAAGGCAAAATACTAAGATGCTGTAAATCTGAAATAAAAACAGAAGTCGCCCGGAACACTCAGCAGGTCAGGCAGCATCTATGGAGAGAGGAAAGTTTCAAGTCGATGACCTTTCGTCAGAACTCACTTTCCTCTCTCCATAGATGCTGCCTGACCAGCTGAATGTTCCGAGCAACTTCTGTTTTATGTAGAAAAGGCCTGTCCTTCCTCTTTCCACTCAAACAGCTTCACTTTTGTTAAGTTTCGCACAAATCTGCATCTGCTTTGTACAGGGTGCAGTTGGAAAGGAACAAAATGATCCTTATAATTGATTGTAAAGCTAATATATTAAAAACACACAAAATGCACAAGCCAAACTTAAGAGGTGCCAAACTTTATTAGAAGTCGTGCCTTACCTGGTGTAGGAATACTTGTTGTTGCTTCTGTTGTGTAGCAGTTTCACAACTGGCTGTTAACAAAAGAGACTGTTAGCTCTAATGCAACAAAAAAATTGGAAAACCCAGCAAATGAGAATTCACTCCTGCAACTTACACAAATAGATTATATAAATATATAATATATTATATTTATCTATAAAATACAGTCCCTCCACTTTGCAATATACCCCAAGAAGCACTTTGAGACATCCTCCCAATGTAAAATGCTCTATATGAATGTAAGGCTTTATTATATATAATAGATAAGTCTTGTGACCTTTCTGCACGCTTGGATTAGCCGTTCTTCCTCTTTTGGCGAGGTTATCATGGGGATTGTGCACGCAACTTCACAGCATTCTTTCTTTTCCTTTTTTTTAAAAAAAACACAGTGCATGTTTAAAAATGCAAAGAAGCCACCAACAATGAACAGAGAAAACTCACAGAACACATCTTTTCACAAGGCACCAGCTCAGAAAATGGCTACGGCGAATGGCATGCAGTTGCCATGGTAATTGCAGCTTACTCAATTTGTGCCGAATGACAAATGTGAAAAATATTTCTTCAACACAAGGGAGACAGTCAAGTGAAGAGTTATATTTGTTTCATAGGTCACATCCACTGCCCCGTGGAGTGTTTCCCTTTCCATCTCCCCCACCCCCACACCCCTCCCCAGCCCAAACGGCAAGTAAGCCAGCTGCATGGAGTCTGTCAACCTCACCAATTCAAAAACTATCATAAGAACAATTCACTGTAGAGTTCTGCACTAGGCAAAACAGTGGATTGGAATTTATTTCTGTGACGAGCAGAGTTCACTGATGAAAGCACACATTGTGTGAAACTGAAAAGAACCTGGTGCAGAATCAGACATCTGTTGCAGACATCTTAATAAACTTGGAAACTACATTTGATGCCTTCTATTAGATCTGAGACACTGGCCATGTTGTGCTTTTCAGAAGGGGCATTTTTGTCACTACCATGACTTTGTTTCAAGAAAATAATCTTTTTTTCCTTCCACCAAAGCGATGCACACTATTTAATTTTCACAGATTACAAAACAACATATCTGCATGTTACCTGCAAAGCTGCTTGACAGACATCAACTAGGCCCTGAATCAGGTAATATTTAGCTTCTGCAAGCAGTTCCTTTACTTCTCTTCCACTCTTTGGAATTATAACTGAATCGTCCCTCAGGTAGTTTAAAACTGTCCCAAAATGTTTTCCACAGCGGTCAATAAGGATCCACCCTGTTTGAAGAAACAGCATACATCACAGTTAGTGGGCGTATTTCAAGAAAATCTCAGTTACTCTTCTCCATAACATCCTTTTGAAGATGGGATGTGCAAAATCGCACATACAACTCTAAATATATATTTTAAGCATATATATATTAAAACATTTGTAAAAAGAACAGCACATTCTTTAAAGAAAACCATTAGAAGGAGCAGGATGCCTGCCCTAAACTGTACACCACTCCAAATCTGGTCCTTGCCAACTACCTACATAAGATTAGAATAACTTTCTCCAATCTATGATCAAAAACAACCCTCGAGACCTATCCTAATTTTGACAACAAATTTGCATTAGCTGAATACGGTCAGTGGATAGTAAATAACCACACATAAATCTTTATCTACCTCAACTGAGTTATTGTATCTTTAAGCATGTATTTTTTGTGTTTTCTGCTCAAATATATTATGCAGATTGACCTTTGGAAAGCTACCAATCCCCCCACTATAGTCATTAACCGACCACAAATTATGGCTGCATGTACAAATGTAACAATAGATGTAGCTCGCTCCTTTACATAATTTATACAATGCAAACAAAGGCCTGATATTGGACCAGGGCAAACAAATAGGTTTTTCTTGTTATGTTCTTATCACAGACCAGCCAGAAGCACTGGTCCTGCAAACATCTCAACGCAAGTCCAGGCTGTAAATTTTGGCATTGAGTATTTGTCATGCAAATTCACTTTTCCATTTACACAGTTTAAATAATGACATTGCTGTTTATATTCGTAGCGACTGGCAAGGAACTAAATGTTCTGTAAAGTCTGTCTACCAATAATTTGACAAAAGGGCATGAATAGTGATATTTAGTTATGGAAATGCTTTTTTGTAGGTTAAACATCTAACACTATTCTACAGGCTCAGCCATTGAAAAGCTTTCGAATGGATCTTTCAGAAGTTCATTTTTCGCCCAGAAAACACTTTACAGTATATCCTGTGAAGTGCTTTCAAACATCCTTCCCAAGGTGAAATGCACTATATAAAATGTAAGGATAATTATTATTATCAGGATTACAACTTTAGGCTGTATTATTATGAGTAATATTAAATAATCTAATATTAATAATAACATTATTATTATCAGGCAACTTTCTCATTAAAGCTGCACAACCTAACTTGAAACACGATAGAATTCCTAATCCCTTCAATTACTGATAGTGCAATAAAAGGTATGGAGTGCAAACCAGCCAATTGTTTCTGGATTGACATTAAAATGGCTAATAATGTTGTCAGAAATGGCTGCCGTGAATATGAAACAAGATTAACTGCAGTACATCACAGCAATCAAATAGAATTGGAAATTACATTTAAATTACATTTCTCATATCAGATTGCTTTGAGAAGTGACTGACAGTTACATTGTAAACTTTGTAGCTTTCAAGCACAGCTCGTTATCCTCGTAACATAAGTGGAGGTCAAACTTCATGTTGAAGACAAGAGTTCTACCGTTTTAGATTGAAAGTATATACAAAAGGAAAAGTAATCATTTTATTGATTATTGGATCATTTTATTAAAAATGATTATTGCATCATTTTATTAAACGTACCTTCTTTGTCAGTGAGGACTTCCATTCTTCCACTGAACATTGCCTTTAGCATGGTATCATGTCTTGTTAAAATCTGAACAGTGGTGTAATACAGGACTCCTCCAACGTTTAACCGGACGTATTTGTTCCCCATGCTTCCTACTTTAAAGCTACAGGTCTTGGGTTTGGCACCAGACGCAGGGCACAGCGACATTAAGCAGGTATCCCCAGACATGTCTCTCTGCAAGTAAATGGTGACTCTGCACACAGTTGGCTTAATCTGTCCCGCCGTGGTGGTTGTGTGCAAGGCTGATAAAAGGAAATAACTTCTGGTCACGTTGACAAGTGTTCATAACCTCTGGAATGCTAAAATGGGTGGGGAGGGCAAGAGAGAAAGAGAAAACTTTCATTTTTAGCACATATGCAACACAATGGAAACATAACACACTAGGCAGCCCTATTTAAAGACACACATTTAAACCTCCCTTTCACTGCAATGGACACAGGAAATCTGCAAATGAATATGGGGGTCAAACCAACAACTTGCATTTATTTATATAGAGCCCTTCACCCAGGGAAGGATCTTGGAGGGCTTAACAGTGGCGGAGAATGATGCTGAGCCAGGGGGAGGGAGGAGGGGACCAAACGTACAGTCGAAGAGGAAGGTTTTCAGCTTTGATCTGAAAATGGGGGAATGTGAAGGCAAGGGAGAGGGACTGAGGGAAAAAGGTTCCCAAGTTTTGAGGTGTACGATCTGAAAACACGGACGCCGATGGTGGAGCAGAGGGACGAGGGGTATGTAAGAGGCCAGAGCCAGCAGGGGATGGTGGAGTGGGGAGTAAGCAGATTGGAGAGGTAGGGAGGTGCCTGGACATGAAGTGATTTGTAGACAAGTATGAGGATCTTGAAGTCAATCCATTCTGTGATCGGGAGCCAGTGCAGCCTGCTGAAGACTGGTGTGATGGCCGTACCAAGTTTAGAGAGGGCGAGTATACAGGCAGCGAATAAACCAGTATTTTAAATGTCTTACAACGTCCTCCCAACATGAAAGGCACTATAATAAATGTAAATTTGTATTGTATGGTATTGTGAATGCTTAAAAATGACCACATTGTGCTCGCAAATACTGGGATAGGAAACCTCTTTAGATACTTGCACAAACAATAAAAACATGCGCAGAAAAATTCTTCAGTTACAAACAAAATTAAATGGTTACTTCCCTTCACCAGAACCATGGGATTACCCATCACCAAGGGTGGGGCTGACCCTGAAACAAATAAAACTACAGTATCTCTTTGAAAAGAAATGACAAAATTTCCAAGCAGAGTTGTTGATGGTACCATGAGATTGTGGTTAAAAAATAACTTGTTAAAAGGATGATGTCATGCAATCAGATGGCTTTCACTAAATTCTTTGTTTGTGACTATTGGGTAGGCAAATTACATAACTGACACAATGCTTTCAATCATGAAATTAGATTTACAATTAAGTTAAATAAAAAAAGCAATTAGTAACTGTCCCGTGTGAAGAATTACCCTGTTTGCAACCACTGGGTCACGGCATCAGAACAGCTCAAAAAGCTTTTTCAAGGCTATAACATATTTAAGCCTCAAAGTTTAATTCAATTTAATAATCCCCGCGTTTTATATAGCACCATATCACAATCGTCAAGGTCTCTCAAAGTGCTTCAGAGGATTTCACTGTAAAGTGTAGTGACTGTCTATTCTGTAGACAAAAGTAGCAGACAGTTTGCACACAACAAAATTGCATTTGTACAGCGCCTTTCACGTTGGGAGGATGTCCCAAGGCGCTGGACAGTCAAGAGTTTCGGACCCGAGCTGAGGGTCGGGATCGGGGAGGGTGGAGGACAGGGGGGGAAGCAGGGTGATCGAACGCACCGTCGAAAAGGTGGGTCTCGAGATGTGTTTTGAAGGAGGTAAAGGCGGGGGCGAGGCTGAGGGACTGTGGGATGGAGTTCCAGAGGATGGGGGCAGAGTGACAGAAGGTTGCCCGCCAATGGTGGGGCAAGCGAGGTGGGAGAAGTGAAGCAGGTCAGAGCCCACTAAATGGAGGGAGCAGGCAGGATGCTATGGGTTTAGGAGGTCTCAGAGGTAGGAGGAGCAGGACTATGGAGGGCTTTGAAGGTGAGAACCATGATCTTGAACTGTATCCTTTGTGTGATGGGAACCAGTGGAGGCGGGTGAGGATGTGAGTGATAGGTTCACGGAGCCTGGCGCAGGAGTTCACAGCAATGTTCCACAAATAGCTACGAAGGTGAATGTTCAATTGTATCTGGACGATTGTTGACAATCTGATTTTGAGCAGCACCACCACCTACTCTAGTCATAAGTAAAAAGAACTGACATGTGACATCAGATAACTTAATGGCAGATAAAAATAAGTCAAGTCACTCCCCATTCTGAAAAAAACTAATTAACACTTCAGGTCCGATAAACTAGACACAACACTCCTTAGTGGATACATCCAAAAGTATAGATATCAAGTAGAATTTGGCAATAACCACCCTAGGCATATTACCACATAATCTTCCTTACCCTAAAACTCCATTAGACAAATTAGATTAATGCGCATTTTATGTCTTCAACACAACACAAGATGTTGATAATATTCTACATTAAAATAGCCAATGATCAGCTGCACTTTATAATCTTCTAAAGGTAATCAAAATCTCCACTATACCTTTCCCATCTAGCCCAAACCTATTGTAGTAATCTAATTTATCTATCCATCCCATTTTGAGAGGATTACCTTCAAAGCATTGGTATGCAAGTCACTGACAAGGTTTGAACTAACAAACTCAATCCTGCGATATCACTGTTAACATCTAGACCCAATGAATGCAGAAAGACGTTATCAACATCGAAAGGGAATGGGAAGAAATTTCAGATAGAATTATTTATAGTGCAGCACCAAAAATAAGACAACGAGTCCACACCAGTGTATACATTAGTATCCACCTATCCTCCTAATCCCTTCTATTCCATTTCAGCCACAAAATACAGTCAATGCACTTTACAGTATATTCTGTGAAACACTTTGAGTCATCTCAACGACACGATTATTATTATTCCCTTCTCCCTCATGAGATGCGTGGGCTGTAGACGGCCTCCACGAGGAGTTTGCTGACTCGCTTGAAGAGGTATGCGCCTGCACTGACCAGATTTAAAAGTGGGGATTCATTAAAGTCAAATCCCAAAATTCGAGCTGAGATTACGCAGGTGTCTCAGGCCTGGTCCATAGCTTTCACTCTACAACTATAGCTCAATGTTTGGAGACAATAAAAAATAATAACACTTGCATTTGATATAGCGGTTTATCAAGTCTTCGAGACGTCTCAAAGCGCTTCACAGGATATACTGTAAAGTGAATTGACTGCATATTTTGCGGGCGAAACACAATTGTACGCAGTCAATGAGATAATGGGAAAGGGGAGGGTGGGGGAGGGGGGCATGTCTTCAGTCTGTTCAGTTTCTTTGAGCCTTTCAGTTGTTGAGAGGTACTTGAAAAAGAAAATAAATTGCACGGGTGTGAAGAAAGAGCGGGGGGTTGGGGGGGGATGGGAGGGAAGTGGGACTGATCGGGTTAGCTCTCCCAAAGAGCCCGCACAGGCACCATGGACCGAATGGCCTCCTTCTGTGCTGTAGGATTATTATTATTATTATTATTATATCACATTGTATAATATGGGTATATTCCATACAGGGCTTCGAAAGCCGTCTCGAAGATGTAATAAGGCGCCATACCAAATGCTGGGATTATTATTATTATTCTCTGATTCTAGAACAACGACGACGACGACGTTATAAAACACCGATATGAACAAAAAAAGGGCCCTTTCACGTCGGACGGTCGTCCCAAGGCGCTGCGGAGAAGGCCTCGGGAGACGCGGCGGGATTGCCCGCCTGCCCTGCAGCCGCGGCTCCCCTCAGGGCGACCGGGGGGAACCTGCACTCGGGGCCTCGGACGCCTCCCGCCTCCTCTCCCGCCGCGCGCGCGCTCTCCCGGGGCCTAACCGACCGCGACCGCCCCCGCCGCTCGCGTTGCCGGGTTACCCGCTTTACACCCCCTCTCACTCTCTCTCCCGATCAGCTTCACCCCCGGGGGCCGTCCCCCGTCCCCCCAAAACGTTAGGTCGCTGCTTTTCTCACCGACTCCCCGCCGCTCGCGCCTCTCGGCCGCACACCGAGCGCAGGCGTCACCTCCCGCCAGGACCGGAACCCCACTCCGCGCAAGCGCACTGGCCTCCGCTTTACGTCCCGCTCCTCCCTCCCTCCCCCCACACTTGTGCGTGACGCTACTGCGCAGGCGCGATGTGCCCTGTCTCACTCACCTGCCCAGATTTGGCACAGATATAATAATAATAATAATAATAATAATCCTTGCATTTGATATAGCGCTTATCACGTCGGGAGGACGTCCCAAAGCGCTTCACAGAACACACTGTAAAGTGAATTGACTGTATATTTGTGGACGAACGCGGCAGCCAATTGCGCACAGTAATGTCCCACAAACAGTCGTAGATTGAAAATGACCAATTTAATTATTGTTTTGGGTTTTTGGAGGGATTATTATTAGGCTCTGTGTGGAGTAAGGAAACTTGCCCAAGGTTTCACCCTCTGCCTGGAATTGAACTCAGGTCTCTCACTTGCAAAGCGAGTGCTCTAACCACTGAGCTACAGGACTCCACGATCCATATGAATGATATAATAATAATAATCTGATGATAATTTATTGGCAGGTTCAGCTCGGAGACAGGCTATTGTAGGAGTCCCGCAGCTCAGGAGGTTTGAGCGCTCGCCTCGCAAGCGAGAGGGACCTGGGTTCGATTCCCGGCCGGGGGCCGAACCTTGCGCGAGTTTCCTTACTCCGCGCGCACGCACTCACGCACGCCCTGATCGTAATCTGTTCCCCCCCCCCCCAAAAAAAAATCATAAAATTGGTCGCTTCAATCCACGACTGTTTGTGGGGACGCTGCTGGGCGCAATCGGCCGCCGCGTTTCGCCCGCAAAACCCACAGTCAATTCACTGTACCGTCTATTCTGAGACGTCTCAAAGACGTGAAAAAGCGCGATATCAAATGCAAATCATTATTGTTATTCAGAGCCCACCCGGTGCGACCGGTGTTCACTACTCCCATCCTGGATCCTATCCCGAGGAGTCCTGTATCCTGGCCTTTTCAACACAGGATAAAAAATAGTCCTTGCATTCGATACAGCGGCTCTTCGGGTGTCTTCCAGACGTCTCAAAGCGCTGAACCCGGCAGAGGCTGTAAAGTGAACCGACTGTGTGTTTGTGGGCGAAACGGAGTCCGACGGGTTGCGAGCGCAGCCGTTACTCGGGGGAGCGGCGGAGGCGAATTCAAGACGGTCAGAAGGTCGACCGGGGATTGTGTTACGGTGATGAGGGTTAAGATTATTTCAGTGATGACTTTTCACCTGGAGGGGGGGCGTTCAGGTGTGTCGGTTGCCTTCCACACAAGAAGCCTTTAAGACGCATGCGCCGTTTCCCCTGAACTCGCGCGCGAGCGCCCCCGGGCGGAGAGACGCGTATCCGCAGAGGCGGACGCTCCCCCCTCCCCCTCCCTCCCTCCCTCCCTCGTCGACGTCATTGTCGTCCTGGACAACGTGTCGCACGTCACGGGATTGGGCGGGTTCGCGCCCCGATCGGGCGGGTTCGCTTGCGCCGTTGGGCGTGTGTTTTTTTTTCGAAAAAAAAACCGTGCGACGAAAACCGGTCCAAGTAAATTTTTTTTTTTTTTCTTTCCGCTCTCAACTTCGACGCCTTTCTTCTGACAGTTACGTGTGTGTGTGGACATAGGCGTCACAGGAGGGAACCGGGAGATTTGGGCTATTTTTTGGGGGGGTTTGGGGGCGACTTTGGGGCTCCAACGCCGGACGCCGCGGGGTCAGTCACGTGCCGTCGCCGTGGCAGCGGCCATGGACTCGCTCGGGGAGGCCGGACTGCACTTCGACGAGCTGAACAAACTGAGGGTCCTGGACCCCGAGATAGCGCACAACACCACCGAACTGAAGGAGGAGTGCAAGGAGTTCGTGGAGAGTGGGTAACCCCGGGCACCGGGGGGGGGGGAGGGGGGGAGGGGGAGTGAGGGGGGAGTGAGTGAGGGGGGAGGGGGGGAGGAGGGAGGGGGGGAGGGAGGGGGAGTGAGGGAGGGGGGAGGGGGGGAGTGAGGGGGGGAGTGAGGGGGGGAGGGGGGGGAGTGAGGGGAGGGGGGAGTGAGGGGAGGGGGAGGGGGGGAGGAGGGGGGGGGGGAGTGAGGGAGGGGGGGGAGGGGAGGGAGGGGGGGGGGGAGGATGGGTGGAAGAAGATTGGGTGGGGAGGGAGAGTGGGGGTATTATTATTATTATCCATCATAATGGGAGCGCCGGCCAGAACAGAGGGGGGGCTACCCTCTGCCCCCCTCTCCACCTCTGCCCCCCCTCCCCCTCTGCCCCCCCTCTCCACCTCTGCCCCCCCTCTCCACCTCTGCCCCCCCCTCTCCCCTCTGCCCCCCCTCTCCCCTCTGCCCCCCCTCTCCCCTCTGCCCCCCCTCTCCCCTCTGCCCCCCCCTCTCCACCTCTGCCCCCCCCTCTCCACCTCTGCCCCCCCTCTCCACCTCTGCCCCCCCCTCTCAACCCTCTGCCCCCCCTCTCCCCTCTGCCCCCCCCTCTCCCCTCTGCCCCTCTCCCTCTGCCCCCCCCTCTCCCCTCTGCCCCCCTCTCCACCTCTCCCCCCCCTCCCCTCTCCCCCCCTCCCCCTCTGCCCCCCCCCCTCTCCCCCTCTGCCCCCCCCCCCCCTCCTCCCTTTTGTACGGTCATAATCCTTTCAAAAAAATAACAATAATCTGGTCATTTCAATCCGCGGCTGTTTGTGGGGACGTCGCCGGGCGCGACTGGCGGCCGCGCTTCGCCCGCAAAGTACACAGTCACTACACTTTACGCGACAGGCATATCCTGTCAAGCGCTTCGAGGCGGTGGGCGAAACATGGCAGCCGCTCCGCTCGCCTGGCTCCGGCCTCCCGCTCATCCCTCGTTCCCTCCGCTTCACCATCGGCGGCCGCGCTTTCAGCCACAAGGCTCCCAAACTTGGGAATTCTCTCCCTCAGTCCCTCTGCCCTGACCCCTCTTTCCCCATTTTCAGATCACGCCTGGAGACCTTCGTCTTCGACCGTGCTGGCGGTCACCTCCTTCCTCCCTCCCTCCCCCCCCGACTCGGTATCAGGCTCCGCCACTGTTAAGCACTCCCAAGATGCTGCCCCACGTGAAGGGCGCTATCCTGGCATTCGATACAGCGCATTTCACGTCTTCTCGACGTCTCAAAGCGCTTCACAGAATAGACTGTAAAGTGAATTGACCGTATATTTGTGGGCGAAACGCGGCAGCCAATTGCGCACAGCAATGTCCCCACAAACAGTCGTGGGTTGAAAATGACCAATTTATTATTGTATATATAAATTCAAGTTGTGGACATTAAAGTTCGAGTGGATGTTAAAGATCCCTTGATACTACCCGAAAAGAGAAGGGAGTTTCTCCCTGGTCAGCAATCCCCCGGATAAAATCGGTCGTCGACTTCATGACTAGTTTGGGTACATTGACGCGCGCATGTTTAGCTGCCGCATTTTTCCTCCAGAGACTGCAGTCACTGCACTTTACAGTAAAATTCTGTGAAGCTCTTTTGAGACATGTTAACAATGTGATAATGTTCTATGTCAAATGCAAAGGATTTTTATTTAAAATTAGGATCGTTATTATGATTGGTATTATTATGTATCAATTTCTATTGGTAGCCCCCAGACTCTGTCCTGGCACGGTGTTGTGAAAGGAGCGCAGCACTCATTTGAGCTTCAAAAATGGAACCTGTTCGATGGATGTTGATTATAAATGTGTATATACAAACATTAGTGTGTTTAAATAATACTTGAGGCAAGACTGACCCACGGCAACAGTTTGCCTAACAGCAGATCTGCTGGAAGGAGATTGTCTTTGCAAAAGTACTAAGAGCCTCGAAATGTAGGATTTTTTTCCAAACAATTAATTCATGGCTTTTTGTGGCACATTGTTGTGTGTATATTGGTTGCCACATTCAGCCTCAAAATACAGTCACTGCACTTTACAGTTAATCTTGAAGTGCTTTCAGACATTTCCCAATGTGAAAGGTGATGAAGGATCATTAAAATTAGGACTTGGATTCATTTCAAATTACTAGTTGCTGGATTGCAGAATAATGTCAGTTGCATTCCTAGAACAGAGTTTTTGATCTGTAATAAGACCCATTGCTCAAAGTGCTGAATGAACATTTCAAAATTATTTCCAAATATGACAACTTATTCTATTGGCATTTTGAACTGAAAATATCTGCTTGAGTTTCAAGTTTACTTCTGTATCTGTGTGTGACGTCAAGCTACTTTATTGCAACACATGGAATCAATCTCCCAAGTTATTTCAACTATGTTTATTGATGGAAAGCCAGACAATGTCCGTGTCAGGGTCATGGTCCACATACGCATCAAAGGAGGAGCAAAAATCCCTTTGACGGCAAACTAAAGGATCCTGGATTGAAACCTACCACTTTCTTAAAGCATATAAGTTAGTTTTATTTTGTAATGCATTGGTTCAGGAATTATAATTCTTGAATTTCATATAATATCTTTTACATCAGGACAACAGCTCAAAGCATTTTACGCCATTTACAGTAAATTGTGGTAACTGTTTTTGTAGGCAAACACGGCACCAATTTGCACATATCAATTATTTTTTAAAAATCCCTTAATTTGGGGTAATATTTTATTACTAAGATAAAGATCAACGGCATCACCTTCTGTGAATAGAGTGAAATACAGGAAGGATGTGGCGTGTGCATGGTTCACACCAAATTGACTAAATTTCAAGCCAGTCTAGACAAGTAAAGCAATTCTCCTTACTCATTAATAGTTAGCTCATTGTCTTAAGGTAAATATTTCTGGCAGTCTCTCTCCAGCAGACATGGATAGTCTTTTAAAAGAAACAACCTCTCATTTTGGAAGGGTCTGACCTCCAAGAATTTACTAAGTTTAAGACCGTGACTCAAACCCACAGCAGCATATCCAAATGTCAGCAAGTACATTTTTGGGGGAAGTTATAGTGTTGACAGATCATATATATTTTGATGTAATTTCTGAGCAGTTTTTTTATTGAACTAATCGGCTATCAGATCAGATTAAGAACTAATTGGTATTAAATTTGTAATTTTACTAATTTGCTTGTGAATAGAGTAACTGATCTATACTGTAACTTTAATGCTGGATTCGAGTTACTATGATCGTGACACTTTTAATACAACACTAAGTCGAGAGTAGTGATATCAGAGCCTCCGCAACATGGTAGTCTTGCAATTGCTTTTTAGTGGAACACACTAAGTTGGTACAACACACAAGTACTACCCTGTGAAGTCACGGCACCGTGCAGACAAGTGGAGGGAGCAAAAGGATTTTGTGCGTGGCAACATTACAGTATACCCTGTGAAGAGCTTCGAGACATCTCGGCGATGTGATAAAGTGCTACATCAAATGCAAGGATTATTATTATTATTATTATTAACTATAAACTGGACCAAAATTTAAAAGTACACTAGAGTCAAGGTAAGGAACCAGACATTACATCAGGAAAAAGAATATGGATAAAAATGTTACATTATGGGAGTGAGGGGCAAGAGGGTTGGATGGTCCACCATTCAGTTGATATGGAGGAAGTTTTGTCTTGCGGTGCGTGCTGTACCTTATTTGTTCTTTCTAAGTATTTTGACTTGAGCGAGGAAAAAAAAAGTTGTATTCGTCAGCGATCTTTGTTCTCGCTGTTCTTAAACACTGTATCAAAGCTGATGACCTTGTTGTAAATATAGGATGTATCTGAGCTGCACAAAGAATGTTCTCTTCTTTTTCAGAAATAGGACAATTCCAGAAGATAGTCGGCGGCTTAATTGAAATAGTTGATCAACTTGCTAAAGAAGCTGAAAATGAGAAAATGAAGGTACGATGCCTTGGGATATAATGGTTAATGTTTCTCGGTGAAAGTGGGCGACTGCTGTTAAAACAGAAGGAAATGTTGGTGCTGCATTGAGAAATGCTGCAATGCTGCATTACTGATACTAACTGTAGGATCGTGTCTTTGAAACGTAGAAAGGCTTAAGTCATTAAGTCATTATGACAGGATCAATAACTCAAAAAGAAAAACTAGCTCTTATAAATGAGACATTGCCAGAGTTTTTTAAATATTCAAACTGTTGAGAAAGTATATTAATTATCTAGATTACGTTAATTACAAATAAATCAGTATGTTGGTAAAGTGCTTTAAAATTATTTACAGCAATAGCAACAAAACAACTTGCATTTTTATAGTGCCCTTCTGGGAGCACTTCCACTTAATACTGAATTGACCTATTTGTTTAACAGTTTTAATTACATCTGATTGGCAATGGTATGTTGGGGAAGAGGATGGAAAGAATGGGGAGTCATTGGGGCATTGTGGAGTCCTGTAGCTCAGTGGTTAGAGCACTCACCTCGCAAGCGAGAGACCTGGGTTCGATTCCTGGCAGGGTGAAACCTTGATATGAATTTCCTTATTCCACACGCCTGATAATAATCCCTCAAGAAACAATAATAAATTGGATCACTTCAAACCACAACTGTTTGTGGGACCATTTTGCCCAGAAATTTACAGTCTATTCTGTGAAGTGCTTTGAGACGTTCAGAAGACGTGAAAAGCGCTATACCAAATGCAAAAATGAATATTTATTATTGAATGAGGCAAAAGGAAATTAGTGATTGGTGGGAGGAGTGGGGGGGAGGGGGAGCGGGAGGGAAGAGTTTAAAAATGGTTATAATTAATTTTTCTCTCAACAGGCAATAGGGGCTAGAAATCTTCTGAAGTCAGTTGCTAAGCAAAGAGAAGCCCAACAGCAGCAGCTCCAAGCTTTAATAACTGAAAAGAAAATGCAGCTTGAAAGGTTTGTCAAGTCTTGTGTCTGAAATCAGATAGGATCAACTAGGCAATCCAGCACACTGTATATCACATTACTATTTTTCTCTCAAGTACAACATGAGCTATGCTGAATGAAAAGTTGTGGAGATATTGTGGGTGGAACGCAGCACACAATTGTGCAACAGTCGTGGATTGAGTGACCAAATTATTATTTTTGATGATAACAATTATTATCAGATGTCACCAACCTGGAGAGTTTGGTAAATAATCAAGAGGATTGCAAAACGATCAAGGAGGCATAAACAGACTAGCAGAATGGAAAGACAGGGAGCAGAAGTTCGACATTAGAGAAATGTGAAGAGATTCACTTTGTTAGCAGAAATAAAAAAAATCTATGCTCGCATGGTAAGAACCTAGTAAGACACAGGGAGAGGAGAAATGGGATCTATGGTAATCATTTACGATGGCATAAAGCACATGAAGTTTTAGAAGTGGATGAATTGAAAATATGGGGATAGGTTCCTGTGAAGCGCTCTTGAGACGCCATCCAGGGTGGAAGGCGCTATATAAATCCAAGTTGTTGTTGTTTAATGAATCTAGACTAGTGTAAGCGTTTCTGCACATGATGTATAAAACAGACTGCTCTTTTTGCAGGTATCGGATAGAGTATGAATCGCTGTCAAAGGTTGAAGCCGAGCAAAACGAGTTCATTGATCAGTTCATTCTTCAGAAATGAAACCAAGAAAAGCATTTTCTAACTACACATCATTGACGTTTTCTGCAATGGACAGTTATTCCTTTATACCACATTCCATCAAGGCAATGGTTTTACCCCAGGTGTATTTTTGCATTGCATTTTGACATTTCAATGAATATACATCAAGCAGTGATTATTACAATGTCTGTCTCAGTGTGATTGTTTGGACTGCATATAAACAAATTATAACAAGTATTTAATACTAAGGTATTTACTGTGCTCTTTCAAGTATAAGAAAATGTGCATGGTACACATGTAAATATTTTGTCAACTTTTGTATAGATTATACCCTGAATAAATGTTTCTTTCAACTGGTGAGAGAAGGTTTTTGCACATTTAGCAGACTACCATTTCTCACATTCTGATTAGTTGCAGAATATCCTTGGAGCAGTATTGAGAAAGTTATTGTTTTAACACTTGCCTTGGATGTTAGCACAAGATCACAAGATTTGCTTATACTTATATTCTATGGGCCTACTTACACCATCAGGTTATGTGTTTCTTTTCTTAAATTCTCTTGTGATAGTAAAAAAAATCCAACCATCATTAATGCAAGGAAATATTTCACCAAATACAGGGTAGAGAAAGCAAATCTTGTTTATTGGATTCACTGAACAGGATTCAGGGGTGGATGACCGACTCTTGTAAAAATGTAAAGAATACAGTATGTAGTTATCTTCTCTCAGGCACCTTGTGGCTGTGAGGCCACACAAGTGAGCTATTTAAAAATCTTCCATTTCCTGATCGGTAGAAAACAGTCCTTGAATTGGCATGAGAATCATGAGCAGTCTATTTAGGACAACTTCATTTTATTTGAAAATACCCCTCAATAAAGCAGATTACGGCTCTCCTGTGCAGGTAAATACTCCTTTGTTATACTTCGGTGAAACCTCGTTACTTCTTTTTCTTCTTTTCCTCAACAGGATTGTATTTTACGCTGAACAGCATAGCCAACAAAAGCATAACTGGTATTAATAGATAGGGGGCATATAGAGCTACAAGAGATAAACGTTGTGACATTGTCGATGGTCCTGGATACACAGATGTTGAGAAATCGTTGAACAGGATATGTGCAAGGATGGAAACAAGAGTTGTTGCCACATGGGTGGAATATACAATAGCAGGTGTTCTTATCCACTGGCAATTTCCTATAAATATATATATATATATATAAAAAATGTCACATCATCATTCAAACATGCATTAAGACGTTTTATTTCAGGCATGCACTTTGCAACGATAATTAGTATAAATGTTGCCTCGCGTGAAACAATTATTTGGGGTCAGTGTTCCTAAAGCAGAAGAATGATAGTTGCCCTCAGTTGTTTTTGCTGGGGCCGCTATAGGATGGTGGGATGCGATTCTCAGTCAACAATTCCCCACATGGTGAGTTTTTTTGAGGCTGAGCTTACTTAGCCTTACTTATAGCAAGGAATGTCTTGAGTCTCACAATTAATGTAGGAGCCAATGTCACACCTGCAGTGTGCTCCATCCTGTGCTCTGTGGGGAAGGGCACAGAGAGGCTTCAGGAAGGAAATAGAGTGGCAGACAAGAAGTTTGTTGGACCTCACATTTAGCCACATTATAATTCTCATTTTAAAAATGAGTTAAGCAACATTGAATGTGGAGTGGGACTGTATATTTTGTGGGCGTTTCGCAAGATGTCTCGAAGACGTGACAAGGCACTATATCAAATGCAAGGATGATTATCGCAAAACAAAGTGTGTTACTGGCAAAATGGATGGCCAGTCAGAGTAACGCGCTGCCTGTTCGTCAGATTTGGAGCAGGATTGGTGGACACCTGGTAGCAAGTCGTCTGCTTCCTGCTCACTAACTCAGCTGGGGAATGGTGGGAGGGTGGTCCAAGGCTCCCAAGGAGTCAAGTGAGAATTAAGGCAACTTACATAAGTAAATAAGTTTACTGACCTTTGTAGAAAGCATAAGCTGCAACAGGAAAGAAAGGCAGTTGTAATAGAGCCTCACAAAATATATACGACTTGAACCACGCCGGCGGATCCAACATCATCGGGTCTTTGAACTGGGTGGCGTACCATTTTAACAAATCTTGCAGCTAAGGAAAGAAGCATAGGAACACAAGTATAAAAAAGTGCAATTTTTATTTTTATAAAAATAACAACTTTCTACGTTAAGCTAAGGTTACCTTTTTTGCTGCTTTCCCAGTAATATTTTCAAGTGTTTGAGGAAATTCATTTGTACAATGTTCAGTCACCATTTTTGATTCCACCAATATCATTCGGCATTGTGTGCGACAATAAGGTTGTTTTCAGCGCTGAACACTCTTAAATGTTGTAATCAATCTAAAACATTGACATAATTCTGCTACTAAAAAGACACTGGCGTCTTAAATTATTCAAATATCATTAAGTGTTCTATTGCCGATGAGACTTCCTGATGTTGTGGTGTACAGTGTGACAGTAGTAACAGTGTTCCCAATTCACATGGCTTTTTATTCTACATAAAACAGATGTGAGTATTAAAAAAAGACGAAATGTGAGTGCTACCCTGTCTCAAGCCCAGAAATCCGCTTGATTCTGAATGAACACAATTCAAATCTTTTTAAGCTCTTGTACGCAGAATCTACTAATCTCTCTTAAGTTTATCTGCTTTGCTTTTGCACAGATGCAGATACAGAAATTCATTGGTTGGCAGCTTGCACTGCTATCTATGAAAGTGCATCTCCACTCAATAGGGGGTATGAGTGCTCTGTCCTTTAGACTCCCATTGGCAGTGGCAAAAGGACTTCATTTTTGACACAAAAATAGTGACTCCCAAGTACTTAACAAAGCCAGTTAGCTCATATTCTTAAAAACTTTTATACTACGGAACGACAGCAAATGTGGCGGCTCATCTGACATCCCACAAGCCATGAGATGAGCAAACAGACCATTCAATTGACATTTGGATCAAGGCAGGAAATACTGTTATAAACAACTGTTACAAACATGGATAACCAGGAGAAAGCCACATAGCTGTAACTGTTAAGGGGCTCCTTTAAATAATAATAATAATATAATAATCGTTGCATTTGATATAGCACTTTTCACGTCTTCGAGATGTCTCAAAGCGCTTCACAGAATATACTGTAAAGTGAATTAACTGCACATTTGTGGGCGAAACGCGGCGGCCAATTGCGCACAGCAGTGTCCCACAAACAGCCGTGGATTGAAAATGACCAATTTATTATTGTTCCGCTTCTTGGGAGGGATTATTCCACCTTAATCACAAGGCACAACCTAAGATTAACACCACACCAACACGAATGGCTCAGATGTCGATGGGAACACTGTGGACACAAAATACTTGGGGTTGATGTCGAAGTGTTGTGTTTGTATTCATACCAGAATCTTCCCTGTCCTCAGTCCCCCCACTACCCCCCCACCCCCCACTACCCCCCCACCCCCCACTACCCCCCCCACCCCGCACTACCCCCCCACACACACATTGAACAGTCTCCATGAATAGTTTTACAAAGAATCTGCGTTTGAATAGAAAACGATCAGCACAAAGGTCAGAGGGGGGATCTCAAGGCTACAGTTTCATATGGACTTGTGTCAGGTCATTGCTCGCACGAACACACACATCCACCCCCTCTCTCTCTCTCTCCCTCCCCTCTCTCTCTCCCTCCCCTCTCTCTCCCTCCCTCTCTCTCTCTCTCCCCCCTCCCTCTCTCTCTCTCCCTCCCTCTCTCTCTCTCTCCCTCCCTCTCTCCCTCCCCACCCACCGGGTGAGGCTCCACAGACAAACTCAAGTCACAGTCACTTGGTGATCAGTGACATCAGATTCGGGTCGTGTTCCTTTTGCCAAATCAGTCCCCACAATTAGTGCACAGACCCCCACACACTCCGAGAAGGGAAGGAAATGGACGAAAGAGAGAGAGAGAGAGAGAGAGAAAAAAAGAGACACAGACAGAGAGAGACAGAGACAGAGACAGACAGACAGGGGTCGGGTGCCTTATACTCCCATCTATCGTTGCAGCTGAACAGTCCCCTCCCTCCCTCCTCCCTCCCTCCCTCTGGTGCCGACACTCACACTGGACGGGTAGACCCACTGTGGGAGCAGCGCCTGCAGGTCGATGGCCAGAGTGATGGGGATGTGGGTGAAGAAGTAGAAGAAGAAGATCCACTCCAGGAGCCGCACACAGAACGCCATGGCCTCTGCTCAGATGGGGCTTAATTGGAGCCGTTTGGTGTGGGGATTGGTGCAGAGTTGGCCCTTTCCACATCAGCTCGTCCTGACGTGCGACTGGGATTGGTTCACCAGCTCTCAGGGAGGAGATCCGCAGTTCTCTGGGAAATCATTGAAAGAATTCACAGGATCCTACAGCGCGGGCGGAGGCCGTCCGGGACGCGGTGCCCGTCTCCCAAGGCTCTTTGGAAAGAGCCGTCCCAAATGCGATCCCGCTAACCCGTCCGCCCTCCCCGCTCCCCGCCCCGCCCGCCCCGCCCGCCTCCGCCGCTCGAAACGAACGGAATAGAATCGTTCGGGTCCAATAAAGTTAAGCGTAGTTCAGGTTTCTCCGGTTCGGTGGCAACCATTTTTTGAAAAGGAATACTTGCGGCGGGTTTATGGCACCTTCCCACGCGGGGGACACCGTCTTAAAAGCGTTTCACAGGGTTTACTGTAAATTTGTAGCGTTGAATTTTACCGGCCAACACGGCCAACGTGAGCATAAGATAAAAGTGTGGCAGATGGGAATCGGATCAAGCATCACAGGCTCAACGTGGTCTCCATGAGTCTCACTTCTGTACAAGAAGATTCCCCACGAAACACAGTCACTGCGCTTTACAGTGTATCCCTTGAAGCACTTTTGGATGTGAAAGTGCGTTATACCAAAGGTAGGATTATAGCTATTACTTAAGTCGGCTCAAAATTGTATAGACAGTATTAGCACCTTATCACGTCATTGAGACGTCTCAAAGCACTTCATAGGATATACTATAAAGTGGATTGATTGTGGTTTGTGGGCAAAGTGCGTAGCCAGTTGCGCTCAACATTATCCGACAAACAGCCATAGAGTGACCAATTTTATTTGGGGGATTTTTGGCCAGGACACGGGGAGAAATTACCTTTTTTTTCAAATAGTGCTATGGGATCAACATCCACCGGAACAGGCAGCTTCCATAAACATAAAGGAAGGTACCGGGGAAGCATTGTGAAGCAGGTTTCAGATCAAACTGCTTTCATGATAGTTACCTGAATTTTTAACCAGGTTATTTAGCGTTCTTGGACTCCGCCTTGCGTGGAGAGCGCTGCATAAATGCAAGTTGTTGTTGTTGGTATTTACCCTTGCAATTTCTCTTTATTCCCCGAAAATACTTATGTATATGAATAATATATATTATTAATAGATAATAGTTATTAACAGTTAATAGATCAGTTTATTGTTGATACAAGAGTTGAATCTCATAATAACCAGTAGGGGTAGCTAACATTCCACATTATCGCTTATTCACTAAATTATCCAGTTCAGATCTCTCCTATAAACTGGATTAAATTCCTAGCCGTTGTTTTAAAAAAAATCAATCGTAGACCATCAATCCATTTAAAAGCATCAAGTATAAAACAGACAGAAAGTTGTGCCTAAAGCCTTCACTGCAAGGAAGTTAGCAAATTAAATTCCCCAAACTTGGAAACGATCAGTTACTACAGTAACATTTTATTTTGTTAGATAGCATTTGATAATTCTTCAACAATGGGCTAAATAACGCTACCAGGAATGATAGTAACAAACAATTGGTACTTGGAAATACTAGTTCCTACAGACCTGCACCATTCATGGAACAAATTCTCCTGGATCAGTTGATTAGTTTATTGCTCATGCGCACTTCCTCTGTTCCAATCAAGGAGACTGAGCCTTCAGCCACAACAGCCATCACCTCTGGAATTCTTAATCAAAGCCACTTTACCTTGCCACCTTTCTCCTGGCTTTTAAAAAAATCTTTCAGTTGTGCCTTTCATCACATCTAAATTCCTCTCACTTCTTGCCCCATTGCGTACTCCTTCTATTGTCAAGCATTCGAGACATTTCTTTGCGTGTCTGGCCCTATAATAAACACAACTAGCTGTTGACAGAAGCAAAGCAGCACAGCACGACAGAAATAAATTGGTGCTAGATTAGATCTGGGCTTAATTAAATAGAAGTTATTTGGTATCTGAAGCTTTTGGTTTATACATGTTAAAATGATAGTAGTGGAGTAACAGCATATGTTGCAACCAGTGAACCTTTTTACTCATATTCAAATTATAATATTCGTTGCATTTGATATAGCGCCTTTTCACGTTATTGAGACGGCTCACGAAATATACAGTTAAGTGAATTGACTATGTTTTGTGGGCAAAGATTGAGAATGAAAATTGTTCAGCCAAACTCCCAACAATTTTTACAATTCATGAACCAGTAGTTACCATATTTGGTCAGAGCAATCAAATACAAGTCTGCGGGTTTCTCTAAACAAGAAAAGTGATTGCATTTTCTGCATAATCACATTAGACTAAGATTGAGATGACATTCAAAGCCTAAATCACAATATAGCAAACCAGTTTGATTTGTTCAAATCCTGAAATCAAATTGCATACATTATTTCCAATCGTCCACTAAGGTTCTGGGTTAGGATAAGCTCGATTTGAATAAACTGCCAAGTAGTTAGCTGGCATTCCCCCACGTGAAGCACTTCCATCCTATAGTTTTATAAATTACCTGCAACTGGGAGCTTGGAACACTCTTTCAAAAGCTCTTGAAATGCAAGTATTCAGCATAAATGAATATCTTTTTTTAAAATATTTATTTAATATATTTAGTATAGAAATCCAAAACAAACACAACATCTTCTGTTGCAATTGTTCCCTTCTCTCCTGATACAAAAAACATTCCGTTGTTTACTGGACATTCCTTCACCACACATAGGTTGTGCACACGTTTTTTGGGACACTCACTTCAACACATTCGGGAGTCGCCCCTGTGTACACCACATCCATGTGTACGCCCACGCATACCCTGGTAAGGTGCCCCGATGTGCACCACACACACACATTTACCGTACATACATTTTTCAGGACGCTCTTTGGTTACATCTCGAGCATCCTTCTGTACCTTTACCTCGGGCGGTTTTGGGTGCGCTCGTGGGCTACCCGGTGCGTGCACCTTAAGTGGGTTGTGCCGGTTCAGCTCCTGCCGGGGTCAGGCCCCATCTGGCCTTTGCCGTGGTTGAGCCGAACTTCAGCTTGTCCCTCAGCACAGTCCCTGATCCTAGCGTGCGCGAGCCTGAGACAGGCCCTCTCCGTCCCCTCGTTCTGCCAGAACACCTGGTTTCGGGAGTGCCGAAGGGCCTCCTTTACCAAGTTTATGATCCTCCAGACACACTTGATGTGGGTTTCTCTGTGAGTGCCCGGGAAGAGGCTGTACAGCACCAAGTGCCGTGACAGCGACTCCCCAGGGACGAACCGCGAGAATCCATTCCATCTTTTTCCAAACCGCCTTTGCAAAACCAAACTTCAGGAAAACATAGTCCAGTCTCCTGGCCTCTGCAACCGGCCCGAGGGCAACGTGCTGACTGGCCCAGTCCTCGACCGTCCCTGAAAGCCCCAAGTGGGGTTGGGCCCCTTTCATCGCCAGCCAGGCCATGTCCTATGGTTGTTGGTGAGGGCCGGTGATGAGGTGTTTTAAAGACGTAGCTGGCTGTCGCCGCAGTGTACATCCCAATCGAGTCTGCCCTCTCCCCCTTTCAAATTGTTTCGACTACCTGCCATGTGGACCACTCGGTGATTGCGCGGGGGTCTGGGATGGTGTTCTTCAGGAATTTCTCCACATAGGATCAGTGGTTCGGTAAACGAGTATCTGCTAAGCAGCCACATTGCATAACATACCAGTTTTTCAAAACTATAACTCAAACGCTTCTTGAAATTAACTATCTTTACCATCACTTCACATTCATGATGACTTATCAGAACCAAACTAAAGGGGACAACCAGTGTTTATGATGAGAAATGCAAACAACCCAGTCGCTGGGAGCTGGCTATGAGTTTCTCTGTTCAAATATCCACTTGCCCCTGGTAGTCAAAGTTGCTCATTGGCACAAATCATAGATAAAACTTATCAATCTGCAAAAGGCCTATCGAGTTCGAATGGAGCTGAATTGCAAGGCCCTGGAATCTGAATTTTAATAGAAAGTGTTGGTAACATTTTGGTTTCAAACAGGAAAATATTTTGATTTCAAACAGGAAGACATAGCAATTTTGTGTTTTTCCTCAGGAAGTTCTATGTATACAAGAAGGGGTCCCCTATTTGTATTACCTAAAATTAAGCCTCATGATACATAATGCACAAACAACATAATCAATCACAGGCCAAGCACCCAAATGTTAAACAAAAGCTTTCTACAATTACAGATAAAGTACTTAACAGTTAACAATCCCCAGTTCACAATAGGTCTTTGGCTCAAGCCAATAGGTCTTATGGTACATTTATGTTATAGCTCTCACAGGCTTCTAATTATAATACTCACATTTGATAGCAAGCAACCTACATTCAGAAAGTTTCAAAGCAATTAGTTAATGAAGTTTCTGTGAAGTGTAGCAACTGTATTTGGTCGGCAAATGCAGCGGCTAAATTGCCCACAGCGATGTTCCCACAAGCAGCCATGAAATGAAAGACCGATTTATCAGGAGGATTGCTGGCCAGGTCACTGGGAGAAATTCTTCTTTTCCAATAGTGTCTTGTCAACCTGAACAGGCACCTTGTTTTAAAGTCTCATCCAAAGAAAGGCACCTCAGCCATTCCAGCTTCTCCTCCGCCCCACCCCCAGCATTGCCCTGGAATGTCAGCCCAGATTGGGCACACTTTCCCCATTAGGGAAGGACCTGCAGACAGAGACATTGTACTTTGGAGGCTTTTTTTTGCATGTGTATTACAATCACAAGCGATGATGCTCCTTTGATGAATGCCAACGTTTTTAAAAAAAATGTTGAACCTACACAATTCCAGTCAAACTTAAGGTATTTTTAAATAGCGAAAGTATCAATATGCTGTTCTGTACTATTGCTTCAGGATTATGATGCAGCAGAACTGCACTATTTATATTTAGGGCACATTCCACTGGAGCCTGAACATGAAAGTAAGACCGAGCATGCAAAGTCGTGTTTGAGTTGCGGTTGACGATAGCTTCTGGATACTGTACTTCCCGAATGGATGGTAAAGGCACCAAGTCTAGCAAGTGCAAAACAACTTCACCCGTCTTTAAAGATGTTAACTCCACAGGAGGCCAGAAATACATGGCCAACTCTACTTCCGATGGCAACCCACTTTCTCCTTACTTTGCCATTCTGTCCATCTTCAGAGGTGTTCAGGCAATCCAGATCTCTGCGCGACTCTTCGGAGTCATTGGCTTCATCTCATTTTCGCTAAATTGCCGCTGATATTATGGTTGCTGTCCTCTGCAGTGTGGCAAACACTGCCATTATATTATTGCACATCTTGTCCTCGATGCATTTTAACTATCAATTATTTCAGTGCCTGGATCTAAAGAAGAGGATCAGGCTTTCTATTCCCTTTATAACAAATAGAACTATTTGACAACAGAGTAACCGCCACTGTGGCATAGGCATATAATCTGGATCTAAAATTTGGCAAGGGGTTCAAAGACCCTTGAGAGTCTCCCAGCAGGAGGCACTCAACACATCAAAAAGACTAAGTGCCCTCACAACAATTGTTCTGACAAGCCTGTATTATACATTGATATCACTGTATTTTCTCCAAGCAGCCCGTTTTCAAGCATAATTAACTGATCTTTCATCTTTACCCATTTATAAGATCGAAACCTGCAAATTAGAGATCTGAGGCAACCTATACAGGAAGATCTAACAGTTACATGAAAGCATCAGTTGCTAATATAAAATCAGGAATTATTAAAAAGCAAAAAATCAAACGTTAAAAAGATTGACATGAGATGGTTAAAAATATTCAGACTACAGGGATACTTTATACAACTAAATGACTACAGGTTGAGTGTTTTTCAAAGTAAAATAAGTGATGGGTATTACTTAATAGTATAGTTCCTTCTCAATTTATAATAACAATTGCTACTTTAGAAAATAGCTGTGGTTCAATTAGTTACCACCTTAACTTCCCCTCTCCCAGTGATAAAGTATTATTTAAAAAAGTTTTGTGGTAGATTAACCTGAATTTAAAAAATCTTTAATTGATATCAGAGAAATGGACTTTGTTGGATTGCTCCAGTCAGATGGAAGAATACAGTAGAGAAACATATGCATGAACAACATATATTTGTGGGTTGTTTTGATCAGTGATTATGGAAAGTAGAATTGTACATTTAAAGTTTATTGCCAGTATAAATTTTACTGAGCGAACCATTTTATTGCATAAAACTCCAATACAGCAATTCCCCAATTTTGCATATGCAACCCAACCCACTTACGAGAAAATTATTACGAAGTAGGAAGTTGTTTCAATATAAACTCATTCCTCCCCCTCCCTCCATCCTGTCATTACATTTCCAATCTCAGCTACACCGCTAAGAAGAATTGTCCATAGTCCAGCATGAACTAGTACCTGCAATGAAAGGGAGGAGAAACATATGGCAATTCAACATTGTAAATTGTTGGCACATTAAAACAGTTCTACATAAATCAACTGCCACCCTTATTTACAGATGGTTTGAATGAAAAGGATGAACAAAGTCCAAAACATCTGTTGCAATATTGCAAATTGAGTTCACCTAGAATCATGGATTCTTACAGCACAGGTGGCGGCCATTCAGCCAATCTTGCCTGTACTAGCTCTTTGAAAGTGCTATCCCCGCTATAGAATCATACAACAACTTTCATTTATATAGCGCCCTCCACGCAGGGTAGCGTCTCAAGAGTGTTTAACAGTGGTGGAGCCTGACTCCAAGTCAGGGGGAGGTGGGGGGGTTGTAGGGGGGAGATGGTGGCCATAAGGACAGTTGAAGAGGAAGATCTTCAGGCAGGGACTTGAAAAATGGGAGGGGCAAAGTCGGATGGATTGAGGGAGAGTGTTCCAGAGATTCGGAGCATGAAAGCATGACCTCCGATTTTGGGGTGGAGGGTGTGAGGGACGAGCAGGAGGCCCGTGCCAGTCGAGCGGAGGTGCCAGGTGGTGGATTGGGGAGTGAGGAGGTCGGAGAGGTGGGGAGGTGCCAGAGAGTGAAGGGATTTGAACATAAGTGTAAGGATATACAGCACAGAAGGAGGCCATTCACACAGGAGTCAAATTAGGATGCAAGGTTAATTCACACAGGAGGCACAATCTCCAAGCTGTCCAAATAGTTCCAACACTGATTGCGAGAATGCTACATTGGGTGCCAATCTCCCACCTAAATCTTCTTATACAATGGCCAATTTTTTTAATGCTCTCATTTGTAAATACTATAGTTTTGAATGGACATAGGTTGGTTGACACCGGTTGTTGGAAAAGCACTGCTGTAAAGAAAAGCCAATAGCAAGTTGTCAAACATATTTCAGCATACCATTCTTTCAGTGATTTTGTGGTCAATCAGGTGGGTGACACATGCCAAACTCCATCACCATGCTTTAGAGTATCCAGAGTTCCATGCATCAAAATCATTACAGAAATGAAATACTTTGAATTTTCTGGAAAATCTGTCCGGTTCATAGAAAACAAACTGCTTTCATGTTATAAAAAAAATATTTAATTAGTTCAATCCTATCCAGGTGAGTCATAATGGGAAGATTTCATTGATTCTCTTCTAAACATGCTTGAAATAAAATCCCTTTCACAGAGAATATATAAAAATGTACAATCTTAGAATAAAGGCAGGGAAATCTTGTTTCATACATATTTACTGGATAGGATTGTCTGCTACAAGGAGAAAAGTGAGAAACATGATTTTACTTAAGCTGTCTTCGTGTGAAACACAGAAAGACCATCACAAAACTAGAAAATACAAAACCTTACTTCTAAAAGTAATGCAACACACATTGATCAGCAGTACACAAAATTCTTTTTNAAATGTCACATTTAATGAGTTTCCACCACTGTACTTCAAATCTACATTGTACAAAGTGACCAGCAATGTGTCACATAGGACGATGAACCTCAAGTGATATTTTGAAACCGGTTTCTCAGCAGGCTCTCAGACCTTTTGCCCCCGTTTACTGAACACAGAGATTTTCCGAATACAAGCCGTTCTAAAACTTCACTTCTTGTTAAAGCTCTAAAGGCTTACCAAAAATCCAAAGCATTATCGTTTTAGTCATAAAATAATTTCATTGTTCCTAATTGTAAATAGATGCAGTTTCCAGCATGTAAGAGTTTTTCTTTGCCAAAGCAAGCCATACTTCATTTAAATTAAATATTTTTTAAAAGAATAAAATATTAGGAATTTATTTGAAATCTGTGCACACCTTTGCTCTGGGTCACTCATATCAAGAGTCCAATGCTAAATACAGATATGAACTACAGTTTCTTAACAGTCAAGTATCGATGACCAATTCTGGGGTCATTTCTCAGCTTTGAACACAATTGCGCATTTAAGACGATCCATAATGTTTCCTTCGTACATGTGAAAAACTTTTTTCTTTTTTCTTAAATATAAAAGCTGGAAGGGACATTCAAGTTTTTAATCCCCACGCTGAATTGTGTGTGTTTTTTTTTAAAAAACGTGGAAGTAAACAAACCAAGTTGTATACTCCTGGAGGTAGAGCCTTCAAATTCTGTTCATATATACACATATACACAGAATAGTTCAGTGTTCCAGTAGATAAGGATTTGTCAAAGGATATTAAAACTCTGCACTACTGTGACGTTTCAGATCAACACTTCCACAGTTCTGTCTAAAGACACAAGACACAATTAACATAATCGCCTATGTGCTGCTTTTTTTCCTGTTACACTGTCCAGTGCAGAAAATAACTTCCACAGAATATTTCACAGACCTAAAATGTGCAAGCTAATTCCTCTATACAGTAATAATGTCAAGACTTTCAAAATCTACCCAATACTGGACTTATATACACAAGTGATGTGGATGATGCACATGCTTTGAGGTTTTTGGACTTCAAAAATAAAATCAATGCTCCTAAAAAAAATGGTTCAATATAATTAGGGGCCAGGGAAAACATAAGTTACTTTCTACTAATGATAATCCCACACTCAACTCAGCCTCTTTCTAATCACAATGTTTTACAAACAGCACACCACCATCACAGGTCTGAAGAGAAGCTATAGAACTGAAATGTCAGGTGACATGCTCACTTTATTACAAAACCTTGTCAACTGACATCACTGCATGATTGGTCGCCATAAGCTTCTTTGTATTCTCAGTCAGCCTCAGTAAAAAGTGTCTTCAGGATTGGCTCAGCATTGATTCCTTTCAGAGATCCTGCACGTGCTTGCTCCACTTCAATTCATATCACCTAGTTCATTTTAGGGCAACTTTTCTTTTTTTTCAAAGCCAAAAAGCGAAGGCTGCACGTGGTTCCATAAATACATACAAACTGCAGCTTCTGCTAAAGCTGCTTTATTTCAAAGCACAACCACCAATTTGTTTTCTAAAAAATACAAGTCCAGCATATTCCTAAAAGTATATTCTTTACAATGATCAGTGGTTTAACTTTAAAAAATTTATAAGTAAAATTACACACTTGTCCCGACGAAACTGATACTGCATATTTTAGACTCCAGTGAGAATCTAAAATGTTTGTCATCAGTAGTTTCTTCCACTTACTCCCATACCAATGGAGATGGGGGCATCTCAGAGGGCTGAGCTACTGTGGAGCTAGTAAGGAGCAAACAATAAAACAATTAGAACAATCATTTTCATATAATTTTACTTATTACAGGGTACTTTGCAAATTCAGCGGTTTAATTACAAACTATATAGTATCCTACACTACTAAATGGACTAAGTTAGGGATCAATGTAAAGTGCCTAAACTTTACTTACCTACAATTCAAGAAAATTAGATAATTAATGTTATCAAGTTCTGCCACTATAACTGAACATTGTTCCAATGTAAATTAATTTCACCGTATTTAAATTAAAATAAATGTCGCAGGCAGATATGGCCAGCCACATTTACCAATGGGTGATTTTTCAGTTGCATTTGTGTACATAGACACTGAACTCAGCCACAAGTAGCTGGGAGGGCTACATAGACAGAAATGTTTGTTTAAAAAAAAAGCACTCAGATATTTAAGTGAATGGATAATGGCAATAAATTTACCTAAAAGCAAACAGCAGTCAAAGATAGGGAAAGGTCCTTTTTTTCCCTTTTAAAAAAAGGATTCTACAAGTGTCCTTTTTAAGGGATGTAGGAGGTCTGAAGGCTGTATGGAACATAAAGCTAAATTATAGCAACATTACATTTTAAAAAAAGACAGCAATCTAGTTTACTGATTACTGTGCTCTACCCTGTTCAGAAAGTAAATACTTTTCCTGTGAGGAGCGCTTGGTAACTAATACTTACTTTCACTGAACCAGATTTTTTAGTTATTAAAATTACAAAATAACATAAACACTACATAATTTATCAAAAAATAGCAAATAAATTATGCAACAGCCTACCTGATAAAGCTTTTAAATGCAGCAGATTGTGGGTTGATACATAGTGGAACCCTATTTCCTTTCTGCTGCTCCAGAATGAATTGATGAATGAGCTCTGCTGGACAGAAATTGAACATTTAAATAATAACCAGAAATATTATAACACAATGGCTTCCTGTAGTTTAAGTATTAGTTCCACACTTTGTTCTGATGAAGGGTCACACCTGGAATGGTAACCTCCTGCTTTCAGACTCTGAAAGAGGACAGCAGCGCTTTGGTATTTTCCCTCAAGTGGCCACTGTGAGTCTGGATAGCAGATGCCTGCGAGCCATTCGAATGTGGAGGTCATCATAAATGAACTTGATACCGTTCTTGCAAGCACTTAGACATGCATTTCTACAAGGGTCAACCAGATGGTAATCAAGAACAAAACCCTTGGCTAATTTTGCCTCACTCTAGCCATTGAACGCTGAGGTAATATCTCCACTCATGCCCCGACTCAAATCAGCTATCAGAAACAGATTAGGGACTGAACCTGAGACCTGCTCATCAGTACTTGCACTCAGTATGCTTGCAAGAATGATGTTTCAAATTTTTACTGGTTGAAAGTTCCCCCAACAAAAATTGCAGATTAATGTTTAATGCTGATCAATGCAATATGTAAAAACAGCATTTTATCTTCAAAGTTGTTTGGTCTTAAAATAGGAAACAAGTGTTTATTTCTTGCCCTTCACAAAAGGTTACTGAGAAATAGATTGGTCCATATGTACCAAAGTCACACTGACCTTTAACCTGTCGGACAGAAGTCAGATTTTTTTCAAATCCGTCATCAAATTTGGGGTTGGTGATGGGCTCAAAATCATTGGTGTAAACTCGTCCCGTAGAGGTGGTATAACAGCATTTGCACATACACGTGTGGTATCTAAGCCGTCCTTCATCCAAGTACGGATGAGCCAGGGCATCCTTTGCAGAGATTCTTTTTGACTATCAAGTATAAGAAATATTATACATGGGATAATAATGCTGATTCGAAATTTCTACAAAAATTTCACTTCAGATTTCCGTAAAATTAAATTAAGATCCATTGTAATTCTGCGGTCAGTTCAAAATATTACAGTATTTTCCATCTTAAATCATTAACTACAGTCTATAATAAAACTGCTTGATCTAACCTGCAAACAGGTTTAAAATGCTTTTATCAAATCAGAATTTATCAGCAAGGTCAACTAGAAAAATACAATTACTAAATGAACAGCTAGATAATATACATTTCAATGAATTCTAATGTATCTTGTTCCAACGTTATGGAAAACATAGGAAAATTAACCTACAGATTAACTAACTGATTTCCATTAAGAAATCAGTTAATGGTTAGAACATTTTTTATCAAGATAAAAAAATCACTCAGTACTACAAGGTAACAGAATAGGTATTAGGAAGTTCTATAGGCTCATGTATAACATGAGCTTTGCAGTACAATTTGTATGTGTACTTACAGGGTCAAAAACTAACATTCTGCAAAGAAGGTGGACTGCTTCATGGGTAGCCTGGCTGGACAGTGTGTACAGAACTGGAAGTGATGGCTGTGGGGGGAAAAAAAGAAAGGATCTCTTCAAGTCTGTTCTATGGAGACTGCCACAATGTACGATAACTAGTAAATATTGTAGTGGCAATAAAGCCACAAACATCACATTGGCAAATTGTCTCTAAAAAAAATTCAAATATGACCTTGTTTTGTGGTCTAATCAATAAAACAATACTGTTTATTGTGTTTAAGGCCACCTGTTATTCATTGGCTATTTGGACATTTTCATATCCAGCAGAGCACAAACAGTTTAACAAATGGTGACAATTTTTTAAAAAATCACAATTTTATTATAAGAAACTACGTTTTCTGCCATTTATTTTGCAAAGTTTAAACACATTTTTTGTGAAACCGATAAAAATTATTGTGGTATCACACTGTTTAAAATAAAATCTCAAGGGAGCTGAAAGGCTTTGCTGGCTTCATTCAATATTTACAGAATGCCTTGCAGCTGTTGCATTTAGTTGAAATACCCAATAAAATTATAGTATTGGCACAGCTTGAATAGTCTTAGTAGGGATTGCTGTACTACCCAGCCCTAGATTGTAGCTTTGGTTCCATGACTGCCCACACAGCTAGTTCATAACATTTAGATATTCTAGAACAATTTAGGGAAAGCAGGCACTTACTCAGGAAAGAACATTAAGGATAGTTAGAGGATGAGCTAACCTTCTCTTAGCTCATTGAGACTGATTCAAGAATGACATAGAAAGGTCTAAAATTCAATCATAAAGACATTAAAAAGTGTAAGACAATTATCTTGTCAATACTTTTCAATATTTATTATTTCTTTGATCAGAGACCTCTGTGCTTCCTAGGATACTTAACTGCCATAAAATTCTTATGGTTAAAAATTCGGGCATCCCATCTCTTTTCAAATGGTGATCTTTAACATCCATCTGAACAGGTTTAAGGGATATTGCCAAGAAAGTGATCTATTTAATTTCACAAACAAAAGCATCAGATTTGATTATTTCATAGTCACCTTGGTATTCTCAGAGAGAACTGTAATCTGTTCTACCTAAGCAGCACCTCACTTTCAATTTGTTCACTCAGAATTCTCAAGTTAAAACTCAGCATCATTCAATTGAACTGACAAGTTCAAGCTTGTTTTTCTGCACATTAAGGAGTCAAATGGCCTCAGAGAAAATAAAAGCAAAGATGCAATAGGGCAACAGTATGATTCTTTCAGTGGTTGAATACTGACAAGCTTATTTAGTACTTAGAACATTGTACTTGCTTGCAACCACTGCATGGTGTCATTAAAACTGAAGCAGCACAGGGATATTACTCCAGCGCGTGCACAAATACAATGCACACACAGCAGGAGTACTTTGTGCCTCAAGCCTTTCTTCTCTTCCCCTGCATTCTCTTTGACCGAGCCTTCAGCTCCCCTCTCGACTCTCTTCCCCCTTCTCGCTCCCTCCCATCCCTCCCCTCACCCTGACCATTTCCCCCCTCCTCGCTCCCTCCCTCCCCTCACCCTGACCATTTCCCCCCTGCTCGGGTCATGACCCAACTGTGCAGCGCCTTGGGACGTCCTCCTGACGTGAAAGGCGCTTTATAAATGGAATCTTGTTGTTGTTGTTGTTTTGGGGATCTGCTTGAAAATAACCTTACACCTAGCTTATATATCACAGTTGCTTAATACATTATCTTAGGCTTGCTCAATTGTCGCCAAGACACTTTAGTTTCAGAAAATTCAACAATGTAAATCCTGTAATATTGTGTACCAGAACTTTGAAGATTTTTCAGACCAAAAGAAATCTAAACCCTTAGCTGTAACTTTGCAGACTCTGTCCAGCATTGATTTTCAATCATTCCACGCTGCCTTTTACATTAGTGATGATGCCATTAAGTCTGTGCATTACTTTCACCATTATCTATCTTCTAAGGTCAAGACAAGTGGATTTTTAGAGAAAAAAAGTGAATGAAAAACTTTGTATTAAGTTTCATATGGATTCCAACATTTAGTTTAAAAAGAAAAACTAAGATTTTATTTTACAAAAAACTCTTGATGGTAGACGGAGTAAAGCACAACCAACCTGAAGCACTAAATCATACAGATCAATTGGTCACAGATTAATTTCCCCATCTGTGGCCAAAATCCTTAATTCAAAAAGATTTTAAAATATTCAAAATTTCAACACATATTGCTTGCAGTTGTGTTGTATAAAAACAACCTTTTTGTGATCCAGACATGGCTATATATAATTTGGACAATACAACTCCCTCCAGTTAAGCCAAAAGGCGACTCCCACTTAGGGTTCTGTTTGTTATTTGTCGATAACAAATACAGTATAGCTCTCCATTTGCAGAAGGTCACTGACGACACAAGTTGCTCAGAGATGGTCTTTATATGACCCAGTTTGCAAATAAGAAATCCCCATGTACCCATCTAAGAAACAAATATCTTTCTAGGCATCATTACAATACGGAAAGGTTGTTTTAGCTTTCTTTCAGTCTGCTGCTTTCCTGGACATTACAGCTAAGTTTTTTGCAAGAATCACAAGGGACTAGATTGATGCTTTGGAAGGAAGGGTATTAAGGGATCTGGAGAAAAGGCAGGAAAATGAGATTAAACGATCTGCCATGATTTAATAAAATGGTGAAAAAAACTCTACAGGCCTTCTTCTGTTCATTCTCAGAGGAAATGTTCTCAATTCACAGCAAGGTAAAACTGCTTTATAAATAAAAAATATTAATCCAAATTCAGTGCAGGACGCAGCATAGGCTAAACTCAGCATCAGTAACTCTGCACTGTTTAAAGCCTTTGTAGTGCAACAGCCATGTGACAAACTACTGTAATTGCTCCAAACAGCTAAAACAACCTTTCGTATTGTAATGATGCCTAGAAAGATATTTGTGTATATAACACAACTGCAAACAACCCTCCCATTAAGTTTCAAAATTTCTACTCGCCTTATATACTTAGCCAACACACCAAACCAGAAACACTACAAGATACCAGCAAAACAAATTAGTTGGATGCAACTGGAGTTCTTTTGCTGGCAGTACAAAAGTATATTGTATTAACAGTGAACAACAACTTGCATTTATATAAGGGTAGTTGCTGGCTTCTTGTGCTGCTGCCATTTATTAAGCAAGCCCCATTATAATGCTGGGTCTGACTTTATGGACATCAACTACCAACAAGTTATAACTGTATCAGCTTTTAGTTAGTGAGGGGGAGAGAATCATATATTATACATACACAACATATATTTATATATAAGAGAGAAGAGAGCGAGAGAGAAAAAGTCTGAAAGAGCTAGAGACGCCCAGAGTAATGGGCTGGCACAATGTTGTGTCTTGGGGCCACGGAAAATGCTCTAAATAGTGTTTAAAATTTGGACATATTAATGTTATTATAGCAATTAGAACATACAGTAACGTATGTTTAATTATGTGGAAGAAAATGACTATTTCTCAAATACAATTATAAAACATTGCGTGGGGGTTGGGAGGGGGCTTGTATTTAGAACAAAATGTTAACAGTTTTACTTCTTTCAATGGCATAGACCTAGAGGAGTATCATATTTTTTGGCAAGTGTCCCCAATGGTTCAGTGAATAAATACGCCATATGGTATATAGCAAAGATTCACATTCAATCATTAGCCTGAGCCATCTGATCTCAGCAAGTGCAGTAGTACAATTGGCGAGGCTTCAGTGTCACTACAGTGGAGAGAGGAGGGTGAATATCAGCCATTAGCCAATGCTATTCTGTGATCTCTACAAGAAAAAATGTGTAGGCATTCAGTGGACAGGATTTGGCTCAGCTGTGATGGCCTATGGTCAAACAGCCTGCTGGCACTCACTGTCTAGCTCATATAAACAATAGCTTCTTGGATGAGGTATGGAAAAGTCGCCAATGGCTGTGGAACTTTATTCCAGGATAAGTTAGAGCTTCAGCAGTGAGGGAATAGAAAAATCTGGGGGAAGGGGGTGAAAGAGAAAGTAATTTTTTTAAAAAAATGTACTGCATTACAGGAATAATCAAGTGCTTTCTTTTGAACGCGATTATGTAAATGGTTGTATTGTACATGCTCCAACACTTTATACTTTTCTGTTCTTCAATAAATATAATGTACACTAGATACATCAAATATTCACAAGTTACGGGGTATTAAGAACTGTCATTAAATACCATTGTGCTGCTAAAGTTGTTAAGGCCAAACCCCCACCGAATTTCAGATTACCTTCTTAGTGATGTACTCACAAAGTGGTACTGCTTACAGCCAAAAATTTGCTGCAAGACACCTTACCTGTTTATGAGGTCCCCTGAGTATGTGAGCCTTAGCACCTTCACAAGCTGTTCGCATTGCTTCTAGTGATGGAGTTCCCAATAGGTCTGTGATTAGATCCAACTGCCCAACACAGAAAGAATTAATGAAATCTGAGAAAACCAAAACAGTCAATTTTTTCCTAAAATTATGGCTTGATATTTAACAAGTTTAAGTTACTCAGTGATTTTATGTAAATGAATGTATGTTAATCTGCCTTTTGTTTTGTATGAGAGACTTTCACTGGTGCCTAGAGCAATCGGGAATTATATGACTATTCCTAACTGCAAGATTAAAGCATATTACACCACTCATTTTTTTGTGTGTATTTCAGATCATTGATTTTTTTAAAAAACAAAATCGAAAGCTTACTATTGAACCATTTGATAAATAATAGCAAATCTTTCACACCAATAATTTTAATGCTGCAGTATTTATTTAATGTAAAAATTAATATCTTCAATTTATTGCCTTATTGATTACTGCAAAGAGGTTAAAGAGTTGCTAGGAAAAGGACTGAATTGTAATGGCTTCCTTTAGAAAATCTGACAATAGGGATAATGGAAAGTGAAATAAAATTTACTCTAGATGGGACACTAGTGTTAATGTTAGTTTCAAGAAAGAGGCTACATATTTATAAAACTCAAGTTTCCAGCTTCAGATGCAACTTCCAACCGGCTCCAATGAACTTTCCTTCAATCCTAATATTTACGATGTGACTATGTTCCCAGAATCAATGTTTCTCTTGTAAATTCAGCATGGCTCAATATATACCAATATTATTAGCTACTAGAATTTACATTTGAATTTTATGCAAATATATAGTCACCACCTTCAGCGTTGACTTGATTGTTTTGTAGAAATGTGACTTACAAACTGGTTGAAACCAAAGCTACTATTTGGACTGATGTTATGCTCTTCCAAAAGATTGTTTTTGTACAAACTGAACTGCAAATAAAAATCTGATGGATCATGAATATAATCAACATTTCGTTATGACTTGAAGTATGAATCAAGCAATTTCAAATCAAGATACACAATTGAGGAATCAAGACACTTAGTGACTTTATACACCTAAAACGAAATGCAACTTTTGCTGCAATCTACTTTGCCGCCATTTCCATACCTGTTGAATTGGACTTTGGGCTTGGAATAAAATTCTCCGGCCTAAAAGCTCTGCAAAGATGCATCCTACAGACCAGATGTCAATGGCATTAGTGTAATGTCGACTACCCATTAGGATCTCTGGTGCCCGGTAATACTGAGTGACAACTTCCTGGGTCATGTGCCGAGATTCATCAAGTTCTTCTACTCTGGCGAGACCAAAGTCACAGATCTGTATGGAAACAGACAAGAATTTTCAGGAAACACTTTTGTTTTAACACTTTTTTTTTTAAGTCTTAAAATACAAATGTCCTAAGCAAAGACTATTTCTGCAGGGTGCAACATCAAGTAAAACATTACTGTACAATCCGATATACTTAACAACAAATTGCATTTATATAGCACCTTTCATCAGGAGGAAGTCGCGAGGCGCTGGACAAAGAGGAGTTTGAAACCCAGCCGCTGGTTGGGTTCATAGAGGGGTGGAGGGCAAGGGGAGTGGAGAAGGGAGGATGACTCATGGTCGGTTGAAAAGGAAGGTCTTGATATGGGTAGGAGGCATGGGAGGGGACGAGGGGGAGGGGCTCCGGGATGGAGTTCCAGAGGGTAAGGGTAGAAAAGCTGAAGGCTATACTGCCAATAGTGGAACGGGCAGGGTGCGGGACATGGAGCAGTCCACGACCTGCAGAGCGAGGGAGCGAACGGGTTGGTGAGGTTTTAATAGGTTGCAGAAGTAGGATGGAGCAAGACAGTGAGGGACTTTAAAGGCGAGGACAAGAATCTTGAACTTGATCCACTGGGGGATGGGGATGCCAGTGAAGCCATGCAAGGATGTGGGTGATCGCCTCACAAAGCTTTGTGCAGGAGAGGACCTGAACAACAGAGTTCTGAATAATCTGCAGGATTATTCAGATCTAAAAGCTCTGCTAAAAGAGGAAGGATCCGGAGGAATAAAGAGAAAGACCCAGAGAAGACCTGGAGATGAGAGCCACACCACCACATCAGTTGGGTTGTGGGGTAACCTACATAAATGCCGTACAGATATATTAGCGTTTCCAAGAACAGAATGCAACATGAAGAACCAAATAATCTTTGTATTTGATATAGCGCTTTTCATGTCTTCTGGACGTCTCAAAGCGTTTCACAGAATATACTGTAAAGTGAATTGACTAATGATTCAAATACTGGAAGCAGAACTGAAAACCGTAACTTTTACTACAACACGAGAAAGCATAATATATATATTTTTAAATGTAGTGTAATCCTGTTTTAAGGCACCCCTTGTAATACGATTGCCCTGTGGTCTCAAGGTTGACTTTTGATAAGTTAAAGGTTAACATTTATTGCTGTTTTTATTCCTTGTGTTTCTTTTAGCTCCAACTTGCTGCTTCTTGTTGCCACTGTAAATCTTTTAGTGGAAGCTGCATAAGCAGCACACTTCGAACGCAGCTGAGAACCAGGTGAAACTGACCTAATTAGGTCAGCTGCGTTGAGATGTCAGGTGTCAGTTCAGTTTGAGATGGAGCATATCCATGTGGGAATTTGATATTCTACTATTAGTTAACAATCCATCTTCACTACCCTAAATATATGCAATCTAATCTCACTTGCAACTTTCCAAAGTCACAAAATTCTCTAAGGCCTGACAGTGGAATTAATGGATTTATAGAATTGTACCAAAAGGCATTAGATTACGGTGATATCAAATGTAACCGACAAACACAGATTGGTAGTCTAAGTATACTAAGAATGTCAACTTAAGACATAATTAACTGCACTCCATTCTGTCAGCATTATGTTTGGTGTTATTTATACCTGAACTAGTTTAACACAAGTGTCATTCATTTTCTATGTTAGTTGATACAAAAAAGTAAATAATTTTAGTTTAGAAACAACGATAAGGTGCTTATAAACACAAATGAGCAACTTTTGTTGAAAATGTTCTGGAACTCTATGGTCCACACCAACAGTAGAACACTAGGAATTTGTATTGTATTAAGTAGAGGTTTGCAATTATCAGGATGTGCTAGAATGAACAGCGCTTTAGATCTCTATCTCTGTATAATATTAGTAATACTAAAGCACTTATGTTCTACTTTGCATTAATAATATATGCAACCTTAACCTTCCTTTATTAAAATATTAATTCAGTAATACTTTGCAAGTCACTCTGCCTTATAACAATTTTCAGGTCATGAACACTTTTATAAACAGGCTTTGAAAGATAAAGCAGCAATAAAGCACTCATTTTATTGTGCATCCGAACGTATGTTAACATGCTAATACATTAATCAGTGTACAAAACTTGCTAAACTAACCTTGAGGACACAATTGCTGTTCACAAGAAGGTTCCCTGGTTTAATGTCCCGATGTAATATGCCAGCCGAATGTAAATACTTCAGCCCTAAAATATAAAGAACAAAGGAATTTAAAACTGCACAAATTGGTCTCATGTTGGGTTGAAAATTTCCACAATAATCTAGCAACCATCTTACTTATAGGATCTCACGAAATGTAATCACAGAATCAAGTCTAAATGTGCTTTTCCAGTTTTCTTAGTCACTCAAAATAAAATTCTTGTGGTTGACAACAAACACTGCAATTTAATTACATTAATTACTGTGCTAGTGTAACTCCATTAATACAAGTCAAAATATTCTGAGTTCTTCTAAAATATTTGTTTAAATTAAATAAGGACCATGAAATCATTTCTAACAATAAAAACCCACGAATGGGATCTAATTTTCTATCAAATCACGGGGAGGGGTGGGGGAAAGAGAGGAGAGAAAATTTAGCAAAACAAAATCCCTGGGTTAATTTTATGCAAAATTAATTTAACGTGCGCCCTCTGAAACCCACCTGGTTCAATGCTGATTCCAGGAATGTGTGTATAAAACAACAATAATTGGCAAATTTGGCGTTCATAAATTAAATTCAGGTGAAAATAGATGTTTTTTTAAAAAACAACTTTTATCAAAAACAACAGGTACTTATCAGTGAGAATCTTCACCCCCCAACTATTTTAATGGTCCTTAAGCATTGCAAAAACATTTTCTAAGAAAGCTAACTCTCTTCTACTTTGAATATAGAATTGCATACACACTTAGAAACAGAAGAGAAGGACATGCAGCCCATTGAGCCTGTTCCATTATAGACTAATTACTTGGGAATCTACTATAACCTCCTGTAATTTCACTGCACAGCATTCTAGCCACTAATACAATATTTTGACTTCCAGAGTATAATCTCCTTCATGAAATCCTCAATTCACTTTAGATGTATGGTTTTCAACAAGCAGTAAAAATCATTTTTGTCCCAGTCCTAACCCATTCAGCCTCATTTGAAGGTTGTATCATCTAGTAATTGATGGATACAATAGGGGAAAAACTGCTACCATTTATTTTGTTGATTCCCTTCATAATCTTGAATACCTTAATTGAATCCTCAGTTGTAGGATGTACATCTCCAGCCTATAGTTAAAGTTTAGCCTCCCAGTTCCTGGTATTCTCAGTGAATGAATGTGGTATTTCAACACTTGAATTAAATCGTAACCTGGAAAGATTAGATGCTTGTTTGCCATAGCAATTTGAAATATATTTGTTCCCTGTTATTGTTCTGTAACTGACTGCTAAGAAATGTGCAAAATATCGTGATAGTTCACTTATTGCCTCATTCCCTATGGAAACCTCTACTCTGTGGCCTAGACTACAAGCTCAAAGCCCCACTGTTGAGCTTGAACCCACAAGCTATTGACCCAAATAGAGTACTATCAACTGAGCCAGACTGACAATTCCAGCAAAAAAATGCAAAAAATGTTGAATCAGCACACAATGCCATGTGCACATTTCTTACCAGTCAGTTACAGAACTGGATGAGGGAACACATTTCAAACTTTTACAGGTAACCCTTTTTTCTTCATAGAACATCCACAATATTGGGCATACCAGCAAAGCTGCACCTTAATAAGGAGGGTTAAAAAACAGCCAAAACAGATTACCCAAAGTAACAAGTGTGCAATGTTTAAATTCAATACAAATCAAAGCATTAATCTATGCAGCACCTCTTAAAGCCATCTCAACTATCCCTTGATCATCAGAAATCAAAATGGATGGTACAGTTCAGCAACCGATGATACAATGAACTATTTGAAGCAATTTTCAATACATTGAGAATAAATTACAGAATATATCTGAATTCTGAAAATTACAAATACCAAGTCAAAGTAGAAAATATTTTTTTTGTCTACGCAAATCTTTGCTTTACTCTGTATCCAAATGAGGTTATTCAACAGCACACCAGGCAACAATTTTAATTTATAGACATGCTTATAGCTCTCACGATGTATACGTGCATTTGTCTGATTGATGTGTTAGATACCAGATATGTCAATAGTGTGAACCATAGTATGCAAATTTCTACACTCAAGGCAACACAAGCCACTTTTTTTTCTTTTGTCCTTCACAACAGAACATTCATGACATTGGGCACATTGGCACAGTTGTACCTTAAAAAGGAGGTTGAAAAAGGAAAATAGGAACAAAATAGTAAGAACAAATTACCCAATACAACAATGGATCGAACTCCTTTATCAACAGCAGTTTGATTGTGTAAATCCAGCCTATATTGTCCCGATAGAAAGGAGGAAATTAATGCTTTACAAGGGAAACGGTAAATTTATCAGATGGCTTTTCATTAGGATATAGAAGTACTAGCAAATTTAAGAGAAAAATAAAGAGGCTCCCACACTGTTTGAGAGACGACCCATATGCTCGATAAATAGTTTGATTGAGGCATGTTCTGGCCAAAACAAACAGCTCGACTGAAAAGGCTGGCAAGGGCAGCTTACTGAAAACAAAAGAACTCAAGTGGCTCATCTCTTTCAATGCTTCAAGTCTTCATTGCTTCCTGGGAAGTATATCAGGATAGTGGTATACAGCTTGTCCTGAGTTATGGAGCAAAACAGTCTTGTGATTCTTCAGAATTACAAGCCTCAAGGAAAAGAAAGTTGAGTTTGTAAACGTTTGCATCAGGAAATTGTCTTGCATTCTTAATTGTCTGACCAATGAGCCATTGTCTGGCTCTCGGAACCAATCTATTTGGTTCCGAGAGCCAGTGAGAGAATCAAGCAGCACTTAAGGCAATGCTAAAATTCCGAGCATCGTAAAATCTACTATCAAGAAAAATAAATGATCATCCCCTCTACGCACAAAAAGTTGTTCAGAAAAATACTAAATCTAGAACTGCTTTTAAGTTACTACGACATTTTTCTCCAGACTACTACCAATGTCACATGACAGCACAAGGAGGGGTGTGAGAATGGTCCTCTCCAACTGTCCTTCAATGAATAGATATGAATGGCTTCTACTCGACACCTTCCTATAAACATAGCTAAACTCAAGGACTGAGCACACATGATCTGCAGACATGTAACTATATAACACTCTGGCAACTGTGCTTCAGAGCTCCAATGAACGACCAACTCAAGGAAATATCTTCATGTTACTTGCACTAAGATTATTCAAAGTTGCTTAAAATCACACACACACACACAATACCAGAGAGCTTAAAAATTGCCAAATGACCTTAGGTGTGCTTTCTATAAAAATGTTGCTACCTATAGTGCAAGAGGTCTCAAGAAGTTGAGCAAATTAAAAACTTTCAGATTGCAAATGATTGCAATTTTCAGGTAAATTGCTAACATATGTGGAAGGGTTATGGAATAAAACAAGATTTGGTATATAACTGCAACTTTGACAACATGTAGAGGATGATTCTGCATCCTAAACATACTCACCTCTTAAAATCTGGTAGAGGAAAACTTTGACATGATCTGAACTCAACGGTTGTGGGGACACGATGATCTTGTGAAGGTCACTTTGCATTAGCTCCGTGACAACATAACTGAGGAAGGAAACAAAGTCAAGGGAAAAAAACGCAGTCTTGCAAACCAATCCCAATGTTAGAAACTGCAGCCTTTTGTGTTACGAGTGCTTTGGGTTCCATTAATTGAGTTGACAGTTTCATAGATTAACATAGAGTGTACAATATTGAGCAAAGACACATATTATAGAAGACTATGACATGCTGCTTTTGAATAAACTGTATAATTTCCATTTAAAATAGTATATCATAATATTTAGGATCGAAGCAAAAATTATTTGGAATGGTACAATATTTAATTACAAGGTTTAATAATCTGATTAGTAAAGGATAATAAAGAAAAATTAAAACAAATCTCTAATTACATCAATGACAGTTCATCTCAGTAACCAGTGAAATAGTGCCGGAGGGCTTTGTTTGCAATAATATTTAGGAATGTGGTTTAATCTCTACAATCTTGTTTTTGTAAATGAATGCCTGTGCCCTTACAAGATTCTAGAAGAAACATTAAATTAGTTAATGAACCATTTTACATTTTTCAGATTTTCTTGCAAAATTCTTGAAACTTTTGGAATCTAGTATATATGATTAATGAAAAATGTCCCTGCTAAATCAGATTTCCATATGACAAGATGGCAGAAATACTATTCCAGTATGAGACATCTACAACATTTATTGCAAGTTTTTAACAAACTTGACAAATTTCTTCTCAAATATCAATCACAGAAACCTATTTTTCACAAATCTGCTGAACCTTTGTTAATTAATGGCATAAGAGAAACAAAGGACAAACTGGACTACACAGTAAAAAAATACTAACGGTCACACACTATTGCTGTGGTTTAGTACATATCAGCTGATCCAGACTTGTATCCACAATTAAAGTTAAACAAATGCCCACAGAACAAAATGAATCATAATGTTGATGGATGCTAACGAATACAACTACTCTTCTTTCTGCAATAATCAATAATGCTTCATGGTCATCCAACACGAGATGGAAAGTCAAGACCGTTATGGCTTTGATTTCAAATGCGAGGCCCCCCACCAAATCTGTGATGCTCCATTGATTTGTCAGCTATAACTGGACTAAACGTACCCCAACCAACAGCGGACAAACTGAAAACACACAAGCCTAGGACAGTACTGTAATATTTGGTTGAAATGCAGGTAAGCCTTTTTATATTCATTATCTGGAGAGAAACATATTATAAGTTTGACACAGGTTTTCCCATAACTCAACTTTTCTTGTGTCCTGATAAACTTGTGTTCAGTCATTTGAGGAAAATAGAATAAATCCTTTCATGCATTCAGACATGTATGCCGAGTACTGTAAACACATTATTGCCAAAACAATTATATGAATTTGATTTCAACAGCTTCAAAAATCAAAGACATACATTGACCCCCAAAGGATATATGGTGGAATTATTCATTTATTTCAAAACAATCCATTACTGAAAACTTCAATTAGCGATTACATTTTATAAAGATTGAAAATCCTACAAAGAATTTGCATTTATAGCATAATGTATCCCAGATATCTCAACTAGTTGTCATGACAATAAAGCAGCTTAAATTCAATGTGGGTTGAAAGGCATATGCACTGCTCTGAGTCTAAATAGGGGACTGCTACACATTAACTGAAAAGCTCCACATTGGCTCGAAGGTGCCATTAATCTGAACAGCAGATACCCGATTACTGTCTCTAGATAATTTAATGAGAAGATGGGAGTTTGGAGTGATAGCCAGCACTTATTTCCCCATGCCTGATATGCACCAATCTTGAACAGATGGTGCCTAATAGAGTCCAATTTTTACGCTTCTGTAGTTTAGAGCGAGTTTAGATTGAAGTGGCCCAAATTGAACATATTCTCACCAACAATACCAACAACAAGCACTTATTTAGCGCCCTCCACGCAGGGTAGAGCCTCTGAGCACTTAACACTGGCGGAGCCTGACTCCAAGCCAGGGGTAGGGGGGAGGTGGCCATAACCACAGTTGAAGAGAAAAGTTTTCAGGCGGGACTTAAAAGAGAGGGGAGGCAAGGAGGAGCGATTTGAGGGAGTGTTTCAGACTTTTGGAGTGTAATGGCTGAAAGCACGACCTCTAAAGTTGGGGCGGAGGTCTCGAGGGACGAACAGGAGGCTGGTTCTAGTTGAGCGGAGACACTGGGTGGTGGACTGAGGAGGTTGGAGAAGTAGGGAGGTGCCAAGGAGTGAATGGATTTGAACACAGGTATGAGGATCTTGAAGTACATCTGTTCGGTGATGGGGATCCAGTGAAGCCTGGCCAGAACTGGTGAGATGTGGGTACGGAGTTTGGTCTGGGTCAGTATGCGAGCGGCAGAGTTTTGAATGAGCTGGATCTTGTGAATGGTGGAGCTGGGGAGACCGGCAAGGAGCGCTTTGCAGTAATCCAAGCGGGAGGTGACAAACGCATGTATAAGAGTTTCAGCTGCATTTGCGGTAAGGTACGGTCGGAGGTGGGCAATGTGGTGGAGGTGGAAGAAGGTGGTCCTGGTCAGCGACCAGATGTGGGGGAGGAAGAACAACTGGGGGTCAAATCTGACGCCTAGGTTGCACACTGATTTGGTGAGTCTGAGGGAAAGCCCAGGAAGGTTGAGGAGTTTAGATCTGCAACAGTGAAGACGTTGGCAGGAGCCAAGGAGTATGGTCCATCTTGTCCATATTCAGCTGCAGGAAGTTTACACTTATCGAGGTCTTGATGTCTGCCAGACAAGCTGATAGAATATCGGCGGACCTGGAGTTGATACTGAAGGAGGCAAAATAGATTTGTATGTCTTCCGCATACATGTGGAAGTTTACCCTATTTCTGCGGATGACATTGTGCAGAGGGAGCATATAGATAAGGAAAAGAAGAGAGCCAAGGATGGAGCTCTCCAGGTGACTGGGACCAGAGGATTTATTTTCTGTACTGTATTAAGCACTGACCGACTGATATGTCAAACTTACCACAAATCATAATTGAACATATTTTCTTTTAGAATACGAGTGAACCACAGAAATGTTACACAATGCTCTCAAGAAGTAAACGTTCACTTTAGTTTGACAGCCCCTTAACATTGGGAAAGTGAGAAAGAAATGTTAACTCACATTCCTCTGAATGAAAGCAGAAATTATTTCCAGAAAATTGTTTTCCAATACAATGATCTGAACTGAAACTAATTAAATTGGCTTATTGAAAAAATTAAAGCGTATAATATTAACAGATTAAGGCTTATGATATTATTGTGGTAATGCAGTTAGGAAGTTGGCTGAAGGATAAAAAGAATGGTAGAAGTAAATGGATTTTTCTTAAGATTGGAAGGATGTAAACAGCGTGTCTGTCATTAACAGCACCTAGGAACGTCCTCCTGATGTGAAAGGCACTATACAAATGTAATTTTTGTTGTTGTTTTAATTACCTTCTGTTGAAAGAAATAATTCCTGATGCGTCCTGAAATTGTCCTTTATAACCCTGACCCCATGTTCTATTGCCTTGGTATATTTGAAAGTACTGTTCTGGGTGTACTTTCTCAATCACAGATCAAGCTTCATCTTCCGCTATACATCTTTGTGACTGTTCAGCCTACAACAGCAATCTTAATGATAACCAACAAGAGGAACAGAAAAAACAGGAACAAAATCATTTTACAAAAACGGATGCATAAAAATGCCAAGATACAGAAAAAAGAACAAATAAGAAATATTCAGAAGCAGAGGAACAAGAAAACACAAAGTGAGGTTCATTGCAGGACAATAGGCAGTGGTTTGATGAACTTCAAAATGCTACCGACCTTATGATTGGGAAAACAGGCAATTCTACTGTATTTTGGCTGATGGCAATTATTTTGGCTTGGTAGATTTGGGTGAAGAAATTAATTATAAACCTGTAAAGAAATATTGGCTGTCTGGTGAAACATTAGTGGTGGGTGTCATTGTATTTGAACAACAACAACAAAATTACATTTGTATAGTGCCCTTCATGTCATTTGAACTATTGAACTTGAAAAGGTATACACCTGAAATTACACGTTGTGTACTCAACTCTGGAACATTAAGATTATCTTTATTGTGAAAATGCTCCAGTAGCAATTTTTACGATATGCAATAAAAAATGAAGTTAGTTTTGAAAGATAAATAAGTTAATGCAAAGGCATGAAGGATCATCCACTTTGTAAGTGGATTAGGTGTCTACAGCTACCTCGTGAAATAGCAGATAAAAGTCAACAATATGTCCCCTATTGGACAGTCACTACAATTACAATAAATCCTGTGAGGTTCTTCGAGACTTCCTCCTGATGAGATATGTAGAATGTTTGTTGTGAAGTGTTGTGATGGGTTTCCGTGTGCGTCAGACACCTGGTTAACCATACATTTTTTAAGACATTTTCAAAAAAAAATTATTTACCCAAAATGAAGTTTTATGGTTACTGGATGTTACCATCAGATATACTGATTTCATAGTTCCTATATTGTATCTATTTGACCCAAACAGCGTTACCCATAAATTATCAACATTTTGATATCTAGACTTTGCCTGAAATATTCTTTATTTGCAGTTAATAAACAAACCTTAGGACATCCTCCTGACGTGAAAGGCGCTCTATAAATGTAATTTTGTTGTTGTTACTGATAAACGATAAATAAATAATAAATAAAATAATAATAAATGATAAGGTGATACACCCCCATCCTCGCCGGACTCCACTGGCTTCCCATCACACAGAGGCTACAGTTCAAGATCCTGGTCCTCACTGTCAAAGCCCTCCATGGTCTTGCTCCCCACTACCTCCGTGACCTCCTAACCCCTTACCATCCTGCTCACTCCCTCCGCTTAGCGGGCTCCGGCCTGCCTCACGTCCCCACCTCCCTCACCCCACTGTTGGCAGGCGGGTCTTCTACCACTCTGCTCCCACCCTTTGGAACTCAATCTCACAGTCCCTCCGCCTCGCCCCCTTCAAAACCCGTCTCAAGATCCTCCTCTTCGACTGTGCTTTCGATCACCCTGCTTCCCCC